TGGCACTCTAGCCCGGGCAACACAGTGAGACTCTGTCTCAAAAAAAAAAAAAAACTCATCATGCCCCAGCTGCACCCCAAACCAATTATGTCAGGTGGGGTCCGGGCACTGTTATGTTTTAAAGGTTCCCAAGGTGATTCCAGCATAGGTCCAGGGTTGAGAGGTCCTTAAAGGAAGATGCTGGTGCACCCTGACCTGCCTCTGGCCTTCTTCGCAGCAGGTAGGGAGTGGTGATCACTGTTCTGTCATAGAACACTGCAATGCCAAGGAGATTTAAACGTTATGAATGTAGTTAAATTGTTCTCAAAGTGTTCTGCGTTTCAGGAGTGCTGCAAACATTTGATTCAGTTGTCACAGTGTGTGTGTGTGTGTGTGTGTGTGTGTGTGTGTGTAAGTCATGCATTACTCTAATGAGATAATGAGATAATGATAGGGATACCCTCAGGAAAATGCATGGTTAGGTAATTTCATTGTGTGAAAATCATAAAGTGTACTTACACAAACCTAGATGGCATATGTATCTTTATTTATATATATTTTTTTCATATGGAAAACCAGACACCCCAGCACATTACTGAATTATCAGTCGTTTCCGCTACTTGATCTGCAACGCCAATATCACATGCTATATGTCAGATTTCTGTTTATGCTCCATTATAATCTTACAGGACCACCACTGTATGTGCCGTCCATCATTGACCAGAACATCATTATGGGTGCATGGCTGTACATATATTTTAAATTGTCATAAAAACAGTACATATAGTCAAAATGTTATACACCAAATTTTAATGTACTATTACTAACGAGTTGTCTTCTCACTGACTTTAAATATAGCGATGAATGCCATTAGCCGAAATGTATCAAATAAATTCACACACCACTTTGTTCTGTTTATTTATCCCCTCCCCCTTGCCTGTTTCGTTTTTCCGGCTTTGGCAAAAGTCAAGAGGGGTTCTGTGTAAGATTTTGTTTGGGAGAAAAGATTCTGCACAAACAAAAGTTTGTAGGCCATAGGCCTTTCCTTATTTCGAGATCTGTCATCCTGTAGATTAGATCAGCTTGATTTGAGGTGGGGCTGAGAGTGCAGCCCACTAGTATTTGAGCTGTCCCAGCTGTTCACCAGCTGGGTCCACTTGAGATTGGGGTAGCTGCCCTTCCCACTTGGGGTCGGGGAGGGAATTTTTCATGGGAGTGGACTGCAGCTGTGGGTGGAGGGGGGCAGCCCTGAGATGGTGTCATTGTCAAGTGGCCATTGAAACGTCCTTGAGTGATCATTGGCCAAATCCTATCCCCTGTGCATCCGGAGCTACAAAATGTTCCAGCTGGAAGGGATCTTAGCCAGCAGCACTTTACTGAGGACTGATTGTGGGCTAGGATCTGTGCTAGGGGCTTTATAGACATTCTTATTAAATCTTTTCAATAACTCTATGAGGCATGCATTATTATCCCCATCTTACAGATGAGGAAACTGAGACTTGGAGAGGGTGAATAACTTATCCAAGGTCACAGCTAATAAGTGACAAAGCCAGCATTGGGACACATGCTACTCCTCCCCTAAGCCTTCTTAGAAATCATTTTATGGATGAGGATATCAGCATCTGGAGAGGAAAAGCAATTTGTCCGTGAAGACCCAGCCAGTTCTGCCTGGTGGCAAAGCTGCAACTGGAACTCACCTGCTCTCTCTGCCACAGTGCAGTGCCTGGCTGCTGCCAAAGGAAAAGGTGAAGGGGTGCCCCTCCCACCTTCTGAGTGGCTCATCAGGGTCGTGTTGGCATGGAATGAGGAATTCAACTCACTATGCCACGTTAAGAGGAGCAGGGAGAAGGCAGGCACAGTGACCTTGGAAAACCATAGCTCAACAAGGAGGCAGGGGCACAGGAGGTGAATTGAGTGGCGAACTCGAGGGCAGCCTGATTGTCCTTGTTGCAGGTTTTGCTGTGCGCTGTAGGCTCCCCACTTTGCTAGTTTGTGGGAATCTGGGCAGCAGGGTCTGCTTCAGCCCTTCATATTCATGCTGTGTGTGCTCAGTCTAAAGTGGCAGTAGCCTGCAGGAGCTCAACTCTGCCTCCATTTACGGAGGGAAGAGGAACTAAGGGATGCTCCTCGGGGTGGTGTCGGGGAGCAGCTGCATCCGAAAACGAAGGAAGGGTGCAGCGCCAAAATTGGGTGCTCCCCAGAGTCTCACCTCCCGCACTCTAATCAAAGAAGATTTCGTTTCAGCCAAATTGCAAGACCATTGCTTTTATTTGTTTTTTCATCTGAATTTGTGCCAAGGATTCAACTTTTCCTGCTCATTTTATTAAAAACTTTATAAACAGCATTAATAAATAGAAATAAAACTGCTGCATAAATGACAAATAGAGGGACTAAATTAAATTCCCAAGGGTCAGCCATTGAATAAGTAACAAAACCATGTCCTTGCATGATCAAATTCCCATGTATGCAAATTAGGGACAGAGCTTTACCACAGAGAGTTTTAATTAATATTTATAAATCACAGAGCGCCTCTGAAAGGGCCAGTAAGCTATTTATATTATTATCACGTCACACAAATAACAAACCCTTTGGAGATTGCTGCCTATTTTGCATTTTGGTCTGAGAAGTAAGTGAACATGTTACATGTATCTGTCTCCCTCATAGGTGTGGTGTCAGCACAGCGGCAAGTAACCGTTCAGGAAGGACCCTTGTACCGCACAGAGGGCTCCCACATCACCATCTGGTGCAACGTGAGTGGCTACCAGGGCCCTTCTGAGCAGAATTTTCAGTGGTCCATTTACCTGCCCTCCGCCCCAGAGCGAGAGGTGCAGATCGTCAGCACTGTGGACTCCTCCTTCCCTTACGCCATCTACACCCAGCGTGTCCGCAGTGGCAAGATCTACGTGGAAAGAGTCCAGGGGAACTCGGCCTTACTGCACATCACAGATCTCCAGGCCCGGGACGCCGGGGAGTATGAATGTCACACGCCCAACACCGATGACCGATACTTTGGGAGTTACAGTGCAAAGATGAACTTAGTGGGTAAGGAGATGCTGTTTTCACATGGCCAGTGTCTGGCCTGGCTCACTTCTTTTATAGTGCAACTTCTTTTTTATACCATACATTTGACATAAAAAAAAAACTACCCCCCCCCAAATATTTTGGAGGTCAACAGATAGCATAAGTGAACAAAATTTCTGTATTTGCTTGTAAATAATAGGTTGAGGCTGAAACTTAAAAAAGATCTAATACAGATGTTAAGAATTTCAGAAGCTGAAATTCACCTCAGGTTAGTAAAAGGGGACATAAAAATACAAGACAGGGACGTTTGTGGTTCATGATGAGGAAGATGAAGCCTGTGACATCAGCTGGAAGAGAGGCGGAACCTCTAGCAAAGGTCCGGCCTCTGGACAGGCCCTGAGACGCAGGGGGCGCTGCTGAGTCAGGAAGCGAATGTGGCTGCAGGTCCTTTGGCTCCATGAACTAGGAATTGTGAACTAGCCGTAGCCTCTGGTCCCCTTGAGTGACGGAGGAAGCAGGAGGAGGAGGGGGTGGGGAGCTTTCCCGGTGGACAGCACTGGCCACACTGTTTGCCATCGTCAGAGGGTTAACCATATCAAGGCTGTTCTATTTTTTTGCCCAAGTCTTAATTTCCGGTTTTTATTATTACAGTTAAGCAGGCAGGGAGTGTTGATGTTCTTTTATTAACCCAAATAATGTCATCTATTTATGTTTCCTTTCTTCAACAAATCTGTATCCCAACAAAAGACCTTTAAGATGGGATGAGTCCAGAGAGAAAGCACACACTAGCTGTGACTGGGGCGCCCTCATCAGACAGAGGTGGTCGTGTTTAATCTCCAGGAAGGTGTAAGGATGAGGGTACGACTCTGACCGGGGCGCCACAAGGAGACGCCTTCACTTGCATGGATCATCCCAGGCTGTGGCTTCCTTCCAGTGGGGACCACTTGGACTGAGGAGTTATATGAAAACTAAACCTCCTAAAAATAGGGGATGATGATGATTTTCTCTACCAAAATGGTTTGTTTTTTTTTTTTTGAAACAGAGTCTCACTCTGTTGCCCTGGCTAGAATGAGTGCCATGGTGTTAGCCTAGCTCACAGCAACCTCAAACTCCTGGGCTCAAGCGATCCTCCTGCCTCAGCCTCCCGAGTAGCTGGGACTACAGGCATGCACCGCCATGCCCGGCTAATGTTTTATATATATTTTTAGTTGTCCAGATGATTTCTTTCTATTTTTTAGTAGAGACGGGGTCTCGCTCTTGCTCCGGCTGGTCTCGAACTCCTGACCTTGAGCGATCCACCCGCCTCAGCCTCCCAGAGGATTACAGGCGTGAGCCATCGCGCCTGGCCCCAAAATGTTTTTTTTAAAAACATACTTTTCCTAGAGCAATGCATTCCTGAAGTAAATTGGGGAATGGGGGTGTGGGATGAGGAGAAGAAAGAAAATGAGGAAGTTATATAGAAATGTAAAGGATCCATTTCCATATGAAGATCAGTTGGAGGTGGAGTTAAAGCATCTCAAAGCCATGCTAAAATCAACAAAAAATCTTATTTGACCTGAAGGAAAATATTCTTATATAGTATTTTCAGGGAGTTTGTTTATTACATAAATTGAAACACAGCCTATGTTTTATCTGAGTGTTATTAAAATACCAAACAGATAAGTGCCAAAAAAAAAAATGCATTCCAAATCCAGACAGAAGACTCTGTCTGTGTACGTGCCATTTGGGGTGTCTGTGGCCTTGAATCAGTGGTTGAAGGCTGACTTGGTTAGAGACACAGTAGAGCGAGAGCTGCGTGGAGCGGGAACTTAGCCCCTCAGGAGTCTGAGATTTTGTGGCTTTGTGACTGCACTCTTGGGACATTTCTGTGTTGCAGTGATCCCAGACTCCCTGCAGACCACTGCCGTGCCCCAGACTCTGCACAAAGTGGAGCAGGACCCACTGGAGCTCACTTGTGAGGTGGCCACGGAGACGTTCCAGCACAGCCACCTGTCTGTGGCCTGGCTGCGGCAGAAGGGTGGCGAGAAGCCTGTGGAGGTCATCTCCCTGAGCCGAGATTTCGTGCTTCACTCCGGCAGCGAGTACGCCCAGAGGCAGAGCCTGGGGGAGGTGCGGCTGGACAAGCTGGGGAGGACCACCTTCCGCCTCACCGTCTTCCACCTGCAGCCTGCTGACCAGGGCGAGTTCTACTGTGAGGCTGCCGAGTGGATCCAGGACCCGGATGGGTCGTGGTATGCCATGACCCGAAAGCGTTCCGAGGGAGCCGTGGTCAACGTTCAGCCCACTGGTCAGTCTCTCTGAGCCTCTTGTCTCCATTCTTTATCTGGGTGAAGGTTGTTAGACCCTGGGAGGGTGTGGGGACTCCTTCTTTGGGGACTCTAACAGTACAACAGATTTTCATATGAAGTTCAAGATGGTCCTGCCTGTGGCCAGAGGGAGCTGAGGGTTATGTAGGACATAGGTCTCCTAAGACTTGATCTCCACAGGGGCTGCACAGATTAAATTTTGCTCACAGACGTGTTTTCTCTGACCTACATGGTGTTTTACATTTTCGTGAATCGGAAACTCATTTGAAAAATTGGGAGATTTCACAGAAACCACGTGTATGTATCTTAGGACTCTCGGCTTCTGCTCCATTGGCCATAGCTGCCACTCCTTCCATGACGTTCCTTCTTCGGGTGCCAGTCTGGTTCATTTGTAGATGACAGTCAAGATAATGAGCCTTCTATGTGAGATATAAAATTTTGAACTGGAGAAATTCCAGCTTAAATTATTGCGTTTTATATTGATAATATTCATTGGCAGTATTTTGTAGTTTCCACAATGCTTTATCACGTATTACTTCACAGTCCCTGAGAGGTTGTGTGAGGTGAGGAGGGGTGTGACGTCCCCATTTAACAGGTGAGGATGCTGAGTGCAGGTCACTTCATGGTGGGGCCCCAGGGAGAGTCATGGGGCCTGTTGATGAGGCCGGTTTAGAGAGTACCGGGTTCTGCTGTAGATGCTTTCTCAGGTGAAGACCTGGCAAGGGTCCCCGAGGAGGCCGAGTGCTGTGTTTAGAGCTGGGGCACAGTGATGGGGGCACAGTGAGCCGAATCCTCTGTGCCTCCTCCTGGCATCTCCCGCGGCCCCAGACTCTACATTCCCACTCCCGAGCATGCCACACTCCGGGCCAGAGCTGACAACCAGCTGGGCTGAGGGGCAGGTTCTTGTGGGAGGGTGGACATCATGCCATCACCAAGGTGTGGAGAGTAGCCCAAGAGCCTTTCTCATGTCAGTGCCCAGTGCTGGTTAGGGCTGCAGTGGTCCTGGTGAGTGAGTGCAGTGTGGCTCGTGGGGGGGGGCTGCCGAAGCCCCTCTTCAGGACCTGTCCTCTGGGCTCCCTGTCCCATCTGTTCCAGTCAGCTGTCTTGGCCCTTGCTTAGTCCCTCTGCCCTTCTAGGGCAGCGCGTCACATTCACCTAGCAGTACACATTCTGGGGCCTCATCCCAGAAATCCTGAATCAGAATCACATTCACCTAACAGTACACGTTCTGGGGCCTCATCCCAGAAATCCTGAATCAGAATCACATTCACCTAACAGTACACGTTCTGGGGCCTCATCCCAGAAATCCTGAATCGGAAGCGCTGGAGTGGGACCTGGGAAGCGGGGTTTCTGGAAGGCTGCCTGGTGATTCTCCTGCTGTCCGCGTTTTGTCAAGCCCAGCTTCTGGGGCAGAAGTGATTCTCTGGACATCGAAGGGGTGTGAGGGCTTTTTCCGGAGGGTTGGGTTCCTGGACGGGGAACACTTTAACTGCTCTGTAGGACATTTAGCAGCTTCTGGATCTTGCAGTATGAAGAAATCTATTGAAGGGGCTTTATTTCATATTTATTCTTTCCCTTCCTGGATGGTTTTAAGATCAGCTTCAAAAGTCTGAACCAAATTTTGACTTTTAATGCTTTTAAATTAGGTTACATCAGTTAATCTTCTTTATTTTAATCTTACCAATTTGGAACTAGGACTTTTTGAATTTGCCCTGCAAATGTGTCCAGATTAAGCCAGGAAAGGGAAAACTAAGTGACATAAGAAGCTGATGACTTGGTTCCGTGTTCCTTTGCTGTTCAGGCTAAGCAGTTGCATCTCCAGCTTCACCCTGCCCTTCGTGCATTCCGGTGAATGTTTAGTCAGTCTCCACAGCATGAAAGGTGTGGTGATAGGCATTAAGGGATTCAAAAATGCATGGTACTCGGTATCTGCACTTAAGGTACTTGCAGGCCTGAGAGCCAGTGGCCAGGTAGAGTGTACTAAGTGCTATGATAGCATTTGAATAGAGTGCTCTGGAAACACAGGAGATATGAAGTGTTCTTGCAACTGTTATATAAGCTTTCCCTGGATGGGATGGTTGATAAGACAAATCCAGGAAAACCAATACGTGTGGCAACTTGAGCTGAATCTTGAAGCTTAAGGAGTCAAGCAGGAGGAGAAGCATAAAGGTGCAAAATTGTCCGATATGTTTGACAAGCAGAGAGAAGTCAAGTATGACTAGATGCTAAGTTCCGGATGTGAGTGATGGGAAGAGGAAGGAAAAGTAGCGTGAAGCCCCAGATACTGGATGCAGAGCCTAGATTCGGCTCTGTGGACCAAGAGTTTTCAAGCTGTTCTTCTTAAAACCTTAGGAGGCCCTCGGAGGTGCCAAGGTGCACATGGGTATGTGTGTGTTCACGTGCATGTGCGCATGCCCAGTCGTGCAGTGAGGAGGTGAGTGAGGGCCTGGGTGTCCTCCCCGCACTCTGGCTTCAACCAAATGTTTCCTATATTGAGCAGCAAAAGATTTTGTATGAATAAAGGAAGTCCCCTTCCCCTGTCCCCCTCCTAATAAAGTTTGAAAACCTCTGCTGCGGGCAGTTGGGGAGAGGAGATAGAGATTTTGAAGCAGAGAGTAGCACAATCAAATCAGAATTTCAGAAGGAAAAACCCATGGAGGCCGCCTGAAGGCTGATGAAACAGGTTACGTGTGAAGTCAAGAGACCAGGTAGGAAAGAGCTAAGAAGGCTAGGGCTAGGTCAGTAGGTGCTAGAGGCAAAAGAATAAAGGGCACAGTGGAAGGAGGAATCCAACTGGCTGGGAGCCCAAGGCTAGGGCTCCGGTGGATCCCTGAACTGTGGGAGTGAAGGAGGGAGGGGGAAGGAAAGAAAATGAGGACATGCAGAGTCCTGCTTGAAAGTCTCTGCTTTCCCATTAGTGACAAGATGGGTTGTCTTTTATTTGGCTTTTGTAAATTTTAGTCAAGGAGTCCATCCTACAAGCAAACTCTTACAGAGATACTCAGTATGTGAAACACCCAGTGGGTCATCGGACATAGTGGGCTAGAGCTCAGAGATTGAACTTGGGAGTGATGAGGGCCCAGGAGAAGCCCACAGGGTAAACAAGAAAGGGCCTGGGAGAACAGTAGCACCCAGAGGTGGTCAGAGACGCAGGTCCCAGGGAGAGGGAGCGGAACAGAGTAGTCAGGCCAGCAAAAGGAGGAGCAGGAAGGAAAGTGTCATGGGACCCAAGGGAGGAGAGTGGGTCCACCGGCTTCAACCCGCTTGAGAAAAGCCTTTGGTTGGGACGGGGATGGAGGGTAGGGTGGATCATTGGTGACATTTGCTAGGTCAGTGGGAGAGAAGGGCCAGAAGCCAAATTTCAGTGAGTTGAGGAGGGAGGGGTATTGGAAAAAGCATGGGTCAATTTCTAGAGGTGTAATTAGGGATAACCAAGGACAAATTGCTATGCAGATAGGGGGTGGTGCACTGTAAATCTTGTGTCTTCAGCCTGGTGAAGGCGTCAGTAAGCCATGGGGGGATTCCTGTGAGATGAGAAGAGTCTGTGGCTGCCAAAAGAAGCAAGCCACAGTTGCAGGCAGCCTGACCTGGAGCAATGGAAAGGTCTGAGGTCTGGGGCACCCCTTGCACGGCTCCGGCGGCATTTATGTGGACGGAGTGTCTTTTTTATCATTGACGTTGGGTTATAAATGACTGCAATTTGTTTGACCAGAGAGCCAATATCCAGCAGATAACACGGGCACAGTACACCCTGGGTGTGTTCATCTAGGCAGATGGGTGAAAACCTGCCTCTTCAATCCGTGTCTCTCAGGACTGGTCCCCTGGGGAGTGGAAGCTGCAGCAGCAGCTGACACATTGGAGGTGAGCCCCAGCATTGCTGAGTGTAGTTTGCGTTGTCTCAAAGTTAGGTAGTAAAGGAAGGAGTTAGGTCACTGGAGAGAAGGGGTGTTGGGGGCAGGACCCTGGCCCAGGTGGGAGGGGAGGGGCTGGAGAGCCCAAGGAGCGGGTAGGTGTAAAGCGGAGCTGGGGCTGGAGAAGAGGACGCGGACGCAGCTCACTCGTGAATCCTGCGTTTTCTCTGGGAGACGGGATCCTCTTCTGCTTGAAGAGTGCGTGGGAGGGGGATGGGTGGGCAGGGGTCTTGAACACAGTGGTAAAGGCCGTTCGTAGAAGGCAGTCGAGGTTGGAGCTGATGAATCTGCAAGGAATCCAAGCCTCTCTGTCACGGGATTTCCCCCCTGGATGTTCTCCTTAGAGGACCAGAGCTGGAACTGGAAGGAGGAGGTCTCTGGGCAGTGGCTAAAGCTCCAGTCTCTAACCCTTAACTCTGTTTGTTACCCCTGAATCTCACGAGATGGACAGTCACTGTGTGCACCATCCCATGGTGTGCGGTGACGCTGTTAGTGGCGATGAGCCTCCTTCGCTCACCTCCTCTTGCTCGGTTGAACACCCAGCTCTTTGAAGAGTGCTTGGATACACTGGCCATTTCAGAGGTTGTCTGGCTTTCAACTGAAGTAGGAGCTTTCCCTCTCCATCTGCCTAAAGATTTGATCTAACTGGTGGTGGACTAGTGAAAAGACATTAGTTTTCATTCTTCCTATGTAATTCTTTTAGGGTTTGTCTTACCTGTGTCTTATTTCCAGTATTCAAATGGGGGTGGAGAGATTATTTCAGTATACTCATTTTTGAGTATTTATTAGGATTGGGGTCAGCACCTTGGCCACTTTCTAATTGTGTCTCACAGACCTCGGTGGGTGAGTCTTAAAATATCTGCTAAAAATATTTGTAATCGTATTGCTTAAATGGAGTTCTGGGTGCATATATCAAGGCTATACCTTTGTGATCTGCCATTTAAGTGGTATCACGAGTTCCTTACTGACCTCTGGGGGTCTAATCTAGGGCATCATAAGCTTTGAACTGAGCCCCATTGGTGTCAACTGGGTTGACAAGCTCCTTAGACTACCTGGGATGAGCTACCTTTGAATTCTCTCTCTGATATTCAGTGGTTTTTCTGGGCCCCAGATCACCTGGGTCTGAGTTGGATTTTTCTTCCAAGATAGGTGCAGTGGGGCCTCGCTGTAGTTAGCACTGTAAAGTGGGGATTTGCTGATGCAGTTTGGTTAGCCAGGGCGCCGTACATCCAGAATGTATCCTTCTGCTATTTGTTTTCTCAGACAAAGATTTCACTGTTCGGCTGGAGACGGAGAAGCGGCTGCACACGGTGGGTGAGCCGGTGGAGTTCAGATGCATCCTGGAGGCTCAGAACATTCCCGACCGTTACTTTGCCGTCTCCTGGGCCTTCAACAGCTCGCTCATCGCCAGCATGGGGCCCAATGCTGTGCCAGTCCTCAACAGCGAGTTCGCCCACCGGGAAGCCAGGGGACAGCTCAAGGTGGCTAAAGAGAGCGACAGCGTCTTTGTGCTGAAGATCTACCACCTCCGCCAGGAAGATAGCGGCAAATACAACTGTCGGGTGACGGAGCGAGAGAAAACGGTGACCGGGGAATTCATCGACAAGGAGAGCAAGCGTCCCAAGAACATCCCCATCATAGTCCTCCCCCTCAGTAAGTAGAGAGATGTGCCGCTTCCTTCTGCTCCCTTAGTTCAGCATCACTTAGGAAAAGTAGGGGAGAGAGAACAGCCACAGTGGGGGTGAGGGGAGGGCAGGTGGAATCGAGGGTTAATGCGGAGCTGGGGGAGAACCTGTGGGACCTCTCTTCCCCTCTGCAGCTCGCCTGCCCACACACAGCAGCCCCCCAGGTAGCAGAGTCTCAGGATCAGGGGTGTGTTGCGGGGTGGAGCTGGGCGCCAGCAGATCCTAGTGCTAGCAGCCCCGTGCAGACACCAGCAATGCCAGCTCAGCTTGGAGGGAAACCAGAAATCCTGCAAAGCTGTTTGCTCCTGTGTGGGAATTAAGTCCCAGAAGAAACGGGTAGATGCCTGTCTTCAAACCTCACTTAAGGAGAGTTGGTCTTTTATGGGAGGATTTTAAATCGTAAGGTACATTATTAAGAAGGATTTGCTCTCTGGGTTTTTTAGGTATAAAGGTTGGCGTTTCCCTAATTGTCTCTTCCCTATTGAAATTGCATTTTTAAGAGTCAGTGGATGGGATCTCGCACATCTTCCTGGAGCACAGCCTTTTAAAGCTTAGCTGAGTCCCGAGGCTGCTTCCGTGGGTTCCCTGCCTCCTTGTAAGCTGGCGTTGTCTGGGTGGGTAGCGGCCATTGCTGGGGAATTCTAGAGACTGCTAGTGTTTGCTCAGGTTGTGTTTAAACATCCATAGTATCAGGATATTTTTATTAATCTCATTTGTCTCATAATTCTGTTTTTAGTAAAATGAGAATAAAAACTTACAATGCTCTGATTTTAAACAAGATGGTAAAGTTTTAAAACTAACCTTTAACATTTTCTCAGCTGCTCAAACTATTCTTTCTTTTAGCCTTGTAATGATTTCCTTTACATTTTTATTATCAGGATGTTCTTATTAATCTCATTTCTCTCATAATTCTGTTTTTAGTAAAATGAGAATAAAAACTTACAATGCTCTGATTTTAAACAAAATGGTAAAGTTTTAAAACTAACCTTTAACATTTTCTCAGCTGCTCAAACTATTCTTTCTTTTAGCCTTGTAATGATTTCCTTTACATTTTTATTTATACTTTTACACATTTAAAATATTTTTCTTCAAATGTGAAGTAAAAAACAGACATGGAGTCTTGCCACTCTTTTTTTCTTTGCTCATCATCAGGATCGTTTTCTTTCGTGCTTATTATTTTTAAAACCATACACACATACACAACTAATTATCTTGAAAATCTTTAGTTTCTTAGACCTTTTTTCCCCCTTGCAATGCGTAGCATGGTGCTTTGCATAGAGTAGGTGCTTGCTGAATATTTATACAACTGAAATTATAGAAGTGAATGTCCACTCTCTTTACTATTTTCCTGTCGGTCTGTGCTTGCCTTAACCACGGACTCTCTACTTTTAAATCTGCAACTAATTCCTCCTTGTCTTATAAGGATCGAGTGAAGGGCAGCCACGATATTTACTTCCTATATCTTTTGTGCTAAGATTTCCCCCAACCCCTTCCAAGAACTTGTTTGATGATCTGTGGCCTGCTATATTGCTTTTCCAGCAGATAACTGGGTAGTTAAAGTCCCCCAGCACCACCAGATCCTGCCCCAAGGCCACTTGGGTAAGTCTACAAAGAACAACAATCACATCGGTAATGGTGATAATGCCTTGGATTTTAATGGCACTTTTCCTCCTAAGAGCCCCAAGTGCTTCTGCATTTATCGTCCCCTTCTCCACTCCCACCTCACAAGTCCTTGTGGAGGCCAATATTATATCCGTCCTGTGAGGGAAGAAGTCAGAGCAGCACACGGGGAAATGACTGAGCCGCTTGTTCAGCTGGAGGTTGAGCTTGCATCGTGTTAGGAAATATTTGCTTCTAACTCCAAATCCACTGTTCTGCGCTTAGCCTGTGCTACACCATCCACCTCCTGATTTGAAATTTCATTTGTGAACATATACTCAGATTCTCATTAGTTCTGTCCTAGTTTCCACTTAATCCAGAGAGTTTTAAATTGTGGCTGCCTTTTCTCAGGCCTGGGAACCCTGGTAAATAATCTTAGGGGCAATAAGGCACCAGGTCTGTATTTGCCTTTGCCTCAGCTGCTAGGATGGCTTTTCTTCTTATAGTTCCACTTTCTAACTGTGTGGTTTTTCCAGGCTTGCTCAAGCAACAGAGCACCAAACAGCAGCCCTTATAATAAACAAGCCAAGACTTACATTGAGAGTCCTCTGGGGGGACAGCAGGGAATGGGAGGGATGTCCTGCGAGTCATTCTTCTGCTTAACACAAGCAAAAGGATTTTCTCCCTTGATGCTGAAGTTGCCCTTTTAATCCCTTACTTAGAATTGATAACAGTGGGGATGAGTCTTTAATCCAAAGAGGAATATTGTTGTTATTAATGATGATGAAAAATAATTACCTCATGTAATCCTCTCAATGTCATGACCGTAAGAAGTAGGCGCTGCTGGTATCTCCAGTTTGCACATGAGAAATCGGAGCTTGGGTAGGTTACGTTAGAATCCCAAGATCACAGAGTTAGGAAGTCTCCAAATCCGTACTCTTAACTGCTAGTGCTGTAGATGGTGACTATTCAGGAGCCTCATTGTCTCCATGAATCATCTCAGCATGACTCCTGGGGGATGTTGCCCTCCTGAGAAAATTGCTAAACCCTCCCCTGTCCAGATCTTTTTTTCCATGTGAATCAAGCAAATCCAGAATGGGTAGCAGGCGTACCTATGAAAATCAGAGCTAGATGCTGAGGCTCAGTGCTCTTCTTTGATTCTGCCTGTTGGGAAAATTAAGGGGAGAAAAGATTGATTCAGATGCATTGCTGTGTGTATGTGTGTGTTTCCCCTCTGTAATTGGGTGTGCCTCTTTAATCTGGGGTTTGATTTAATTTATTGGTTTAAATTTATTGTATATATTTCATGTGAGGGGTGCCCAGAAAATTAGAGCCAAATTAGTTATGATATTTTGTGTTCTTTAGTACTTATGAGCCTTTTTTACTCAATATAAATGATTATATAAAATAAGATATGCATAATTGAGATAGGATATCCATGATGTTTATAAAAACAAAGAGTTATTGGGAATTGTAAAATTAATCATGATCATGGTGACCAGTTTTTGAAAACCTGTTATGTGTTAGGTGAATCTGTATACTTTATCCCATTTACTTTGGATTTTTTAAGGAACAGGGACTCACTTTATCACCCAGGCTGGAGTGCAATGGCTTGATCATAGCTCACTGTAACCTCAAATTCCTGGGCTCAAGCAATCCTCCTGCCTCAGCCTCCCAAATAGTTGCCACCCTGCCCAGCAAATTTTTAAAAACATTTTTTTGTAAAGAGGGGGTCTTGCTATGTTGCCCAGGGTGGTCTTAAACTCTTGGCCTCAAGCGATCCCCCTGCCTTGGCCTCCCAAAGTGCTGGAATTACAGGTGTGAGTTACCATGCCTGGCCTACTTTTTAATCTTTTAAAAATTTCCACAATTAAAGATAGCACTCTGCCTTTCTTACAGAAGAATAAACTGAAGCATATAGAGTTTAAATAATTCAATGGAGTGAGTTTAGATAGCTAAGTAAGTAACAGAGGCCAGACTAAGGCAGAGAAGGGAGTGGAATCCTTATCCCAGGCTTTGGAGGAATATTTCGAGGTAGAGAGCAAAGGAAAGTCCAGGGCTGGCCGTGGGCAGGCAGGAGGTGGTAGATGATGCGCTCTGGTTTCTTTCTGTGTTAATGAACGTACGAAAGCTCGCTCCCCACACACCCTGTGAAACTAGACCATCTGTGCTCCGTTATTATCCACACTTAAGCACACGTTATCTTCTAAGTACTTCCTGTCATTTTTTTTTTCTACTCCCTAATATTGTTCTGAAGGACTCAAATGGCATGTTAAGGATGTTCAGCTTTTATTTGACTGCTGTAGCACCGGATGGTGGGAAGATTGAAGTGAAGTAGGATTTTGGAGTTACTCATCATGCTGAAAATCCAACTTGAAAAGCCCTGAACTCCAGCTAAATAGGTTACCTGATAAATTGTTTTATGCCCTAAACATCATGTCATTGTGTTGTATTTCTTAGGTTCCGATTTAGTATCAGGTGTTAGAACCTCATTATCCTAGTCCTCTGCACACAGCAAAGAGCATCCTAGATTATCAGACATAAGATCATAGGGAGCAGTGCTCACAGCCCGCCAGGGCTTGCAGCAGCAAGTGTCAGAGTGCTTCTTATTCCCTGAGGCTCACGGTACCTGAACATGATTCCATTTGCACCCCTCCTCCTGTTGATCTGTGGGGAGGGTGCTATGGAGACCATGAAGCCCCAGCGTGTTCCTCTCTCCCTCTTCCCAGAGAGCAGCATCTCCGTGGAGGTGGCCAGCAACGCCAGCGTCATCCTGGAGGGCGAGGATTTGCACTTCTCCTGCAGTGTCCGCACGGCGGGCAGGCCACAGGGCCGCTTCTCTGTCATCTGGCAGCTCGTGGACAGACAGAACCGCCACAGCAATATCGTGTGGCTAGACCGGGATGGCACCGTGCAGCCGGGATCGTCCTACTGGGAGCGCAGCAGCTTTGGGGGCATCCAGATGGAGCAGGTGCAGCCCAACTCGTTCAGCCTGGGCATTTTCAACAGCAGGAAGGAGGACGAGGGCCAGTACGAATGCCATGTGACCGAATGGGTGCGGGCGGTGGACGGCGAGTGGCAGATTGTGGGAGAGCGCCGGGCCAGCACCCTCGTCTCCATCACTGCTCTCGGTGAGTGAGTGGTGGAACCATACGAAAGACTGCTCCAGCGTCCAGCACCCTAGCCTGACTTTTAGCTGTCGGAGTTCTGGCAGGAGACAGGACCTTCCAAAGCGTTTCATTGAAGGGATTTTTTGTAGTGCTACAGGCGGAGTTGAGGGAACCCACAGTGGATGGTGGGGACCCTAGGGGCTAGCATCAGTGGGAGCTATTATAGCTCCTACATCAGGGTGGTGGAGAGTGGAGTTATTACAGTTCTAGCCAAGTCAGCAAGGCCTCCCTCAGGAGCAGTGGTCCCAGGTAGAGGAACATGGTTGCTGGCAAACCTGGCCTGGAAGAGAAGGAGCATTTAAGCACCATGGGTAGAGAAGGGAAGGGCAGACGGTCACCCATCACCATTTATTTAGCATTTACTATGTTCCTGGCTGAATCTAAGCATTGAAGTTTAATTGTCTCATTGAATCTTCACCTGGCCAAGAGGTAGACACTTTCATATTATAAGGAAACTGAGACTGAGACAGGTTAAATGATTTGCCCAAGGCTATAGCTTTTAAATGACCAACTGACAGCCTGAACCCAGGAAACCAGCAATTTATCTTAAACTTTTTCCAAAGCCTATGTTTTTATCTGCTCCTCTGTGTGGCTCCAACCTAAGAAGGCTATTTCCTCATTAGTATGAAATGCAAAGATACCTTGAGATTTGCTAAAACCAAAGAATATTAGATTTGCTTTGCATGGAGTAAAAAGGCTTCTGTCAACATTTATCTGCCTAATATAATCAGTATATTAAATTTTAAAAAACCAGTGTATGAATTTTCTGGGAAGATAACTTGTCAGGCCCTCCTGTTTATCAGGACACTGACATAGTTGTCCCGAGCAACGTCATATCCCACTTCCTGGGACCGTGTCACCACCTTTGGACACACTCAGTAAAGATGGCAGCCCCGAGTAACTTTGCCCCCCGTAACAGTCCTCCACTTTCCCACCCCTCTGAGATTCGAATTACATGTACTTTCTGAAAGCTTAATCCGAAAGATTGACGTGCTTTCTATAGTGAACCTGCAGCTCAGATTTCTGTCTCTAGAAACTTCCTCCAGTGATTGAGTTTCCTGATCAGCCCAGTCCCTGTGCCTGTGCTCAGCACTGGTGTGGACCTATGGAGATGGAACTTGAGGGGAAGGTTCTGGGCATCTGGTACTGGTAGTTTTTTCCCATCCTGGGAGGTTAGGAATGTCCAAGGAATGGCAAAGAGTTAGGGTTGTTCCTCCAGAAGTAATTTACAGTATCAGGTTATACCCTGAGTTTTATCATACTCACCCCATGTCTGGCGTTCCCACCACCAGGGGTCACTGAGCGGCTCTGCCCTGGGATCCTGGGGCTGGCTCTGCTCACCTGCTGACCCCTGGGACACCTCTGTCTGGAACCAGGATCAGGTGGCCCAAAAGGGTGGACAAGGAAAAGTGGGAGGGCACCCTGGACTAACCAAGGTTGGCTAAAGTTAGCAGTGACACACGTGAATTTTCCCACTGGTATAATCAGGCATGGATCCCAAATGTGCGTGGGCCATTATGACTCTTCAGTTAGGGTGGCTCGGGTGCTCTGTGCTCTGTGCCTGTGGCACGTTTCCGTGCCAGGCTGAGACAGAGTCGTTTGCTTGGAGAAACTCTCTCCTCTTCAGCTGTGAGGCTAGGAGCGCCTGGTATGGGGTCTGTCCCCGAGGTCCTGTCCTACACTGCTCTCGTGACACCACCTACTACACACAGGTGCACAAGTGATCGTCACAGCCACTTAATGTTTAAGGATGAGCCTCTGTGTCTTAAACCTTTTGTATATAGAGATAGCTTATGAAATCCAAACTGAAGATCCAGAGCTTTCAGCAAATTGTACCTACCTGTTTGCTGACCTAACCTCCTCGTAGAAAGCCAAAAGATTCATTCTGTGACTAGTCTTTCACCTATGAAATTTAAAGTACTTTCCTTTATGTCTATCTTGTTTCTTTAACAAAATACATATTTAACAAAATATGGTATATATTCTAAGTATGTGCCAGGGATTATTAGAAGTATTTTACAAATACTCATTTAATCTTCACATGGACCCATTTTATAGATGGGGAAACAGAGACAGAAATTAAGTAACTAATGTCATACAGCTAGGAAGTGTCAAAGTTAGGTAGCTGGCTCCAGAGTCCATCCTTTAACCACTCTGTTATGCTTCCCGTGGCTAAAGCAACCTTAAAAGCCCCTGGAATCTAGTTGCATGCAGGTTTGGAGCCTGACTCTGCTGTTTACCTACCAGCAGCTTGATATTGGGCCATTTATTTAACCTCTCTGTGCTTCAGTTCCTGCATCTGCAAAAAGAGATGATAAGCCTACCTGTTCTGTGAGGTTGTTTCGGGGATTCAGTGAAGTGTGGTAGAGCAATGCAGTTGGCACCATGCATGGCACATAGATGGTGCTCAATAAATACCGGCTGCTGTTAGTTTTATGATTATAATCAATGCATTAATATTAAATAGTATTTCCAGGCTGAAGGAGCTCTGAGGTGCTCACGTTGGAGTCAGTACTGGGATTAGGAATCCCGCCCGCTCAGCAGGGACTCACAGCCCACTGACTCACAGGACCCTGGCTTTAGGACCATTGCCCCACCTCACCAGAGGTGCCCTCCCACCTCTCTGCACCAGATCTCGTGAGGGAAGTGGGAAAGGGCCTGGAGGCCTCCCCTATCTGCCTCCCTTCTCTGGCACTGATGCATCAGGGACCAGGAGAAGGAGGTGGGGCTGGGAGGTAGCAGCCACCTTGCGTGTAACCCAGGAAGTTGGCTTTGGGCCTTTTTCTCCAACTTTCTCATGGAATCCCAAGATCCTAGGAGTGGCCCTGCCTATGTACCTAGTCCCCGAGAGCACTGGTGTCTGTCGTGATCCAGGGGAGGATCGCATGCATCTGCCCGTGAGGGTCGGGAAGGGGTTGGGCTAGGGCTGCTCAGGGAGAATAGCCGTGGGCCTCTTGCCGTGGAGTCTTGCGAGCTGTGGGGATTGTGCCTCAATGCGATACCAAAAGCAGTGCCGGCCCGTGTGAAAAGGGAGTCCCGAGAGCCTCTGCTCCGCGCCGCTTGCCTTGCCAGCCGTCCCGAGAAAGGCAAGCGCCTCTTCTGGTTGAATCTCTCTGCTCTCTCTCCAGAGACGGGCTTTGCAGTCACAGCCATCTCCCGGACGCCGGGCGTGACCTACAGCGACTCCTTTGACTTGCAGTGCATCATCAAACCCCATTACCCCGCCCGGGTCCCCGTGTCAGTGACGTGGCGGTTCCAGCCAGTGGGCACCGTTGAGTTCCATGACCTGGTAACCTTCACCCGGGACGGAGGGGTCCAGTGGGGGGACAGGTCCTCCAGCTTCCGAACCCGAACTGCCATCGAGAAGGCTGAGTCCAGCAACAACGTCCGTCTGAGCATCAGCCGAGCCAGCGACACGGAGGCGGGCAAGTACCAGTGTGTGGCGGAGCTGTGGCGGAAGAACTACAACCACACCTGGACGCGGCTGGCGGAAAGGACCTCCAACCTGCTGGAGATTAGGGTGCTGCAGCCAGGTGGGTGCTGCGACCCGAGGGCCTTGCTCGCCTGGGGCCTGTGGACGGACGTGTGCTCCCGTTGTGTGATGAGACGTGAGGAGGGGAGGAGCTATGTGCCTCGAGCCCTTGGCATAGCTTCTTTGTTTCCCAGTTCTTTATTTTGAGAAATTTCGAATCAGTAGGGAGTTGCAAGAATTGTGCAGTGAACACTCATACTCCCTTTCCTTGAAGGCCAGTTATTGATGTCTTGTTTTCTCCTTCAGTTTTTTGTTGTTGTTGTTTTTGAAGCATTTGAAGGTGAGTCGCAGACATCAGGATACTTCCCCCTAAATATGAACACTTCCCCACGCAACTCCTAACAACAGGACGTTGTCCTGCCCACCCACTACTCTTGGAATTTAACGTGAGTGTGGTCCCGTTACCTGCATCTCCCCAGTGGTCCTGATCATGCCCTTTAGAGTTTGTGGTTTTTTTTCAAACTAGTATCTAGTCAGGGAATCACATATTGCGTTTAGTCTTTAGACTCATTTAATCGAGAACGATTCCCTGGCCTCCGTGTGCGTGCGCGCGCGCGCGCGTGTGTGTGTGTGTGTGTGTGTGTGTGTGTACACATGTGTGAAGACATTGGCATTTATGAAGCGCACAGGCCACTTGTTATACAGAAAGCTCCCCCTTCTCTATACTTAACCTCACGTCCTGTAATCCTCTCGATAATTACGTGGAACAGGCTTCACTGTCCCCTGTTGAAGGAAACTCTGAGGGGAGAGTTTATGGGAAGATAATGGGTGCTTCCTGAGCATCTGCTTTGTGCTACGTGCTGAGGGTCAGTTATTTTATTAGAATTTCACAACTGGGAAGATTGAAGCAACTAAGCCTGAGGTTGTGCAGCTATTAAATGGTGGAGCCAGGATTCGAACCCTGGTCATCTTTCTTCCACAATGCTTCCACATCCAGGCCCCGTCCCGGTGTGCTGAGTTTGAGCTCCTTTCTCCCATGGAGGCCGAGTCTCTGTCAAAGCGAATGATAAGGATGCACTCATTTGGGGAGCATTAGTCAGTGGGACTTTTTGAAATATTCTCACTTTTGACAGGCTCTTCCATGGACATGCGGCAGCAATTAAGTACATGCTGCTCTTGTGGTTTTCCTCTGTCTGTCCTTGTCTCCTGTGGGTCAGAAGGTGGTGGAGGGTGGGCCCAGGCTGTAGGCTCCTCGTCCCTCCTGTTACCCGGGCCATGCCCAGGCTAGACCAGGCCCCCATGCAGAGAACGGTCAGGGTTTGGCTTTGCAAAGATGGCTTGAATGCCTTGCAAAAGGATTTTTCTGCCCACTAACAGCCATAGTGAGTGCCCAGCCCGGTCTGCTAGACCACTTTAGGTGGCCACAGTGTTGTTTTCAGCAAAGTGAGGTTAAATAATGGTAACCTCTGAGTTTATCCTTCACCTCTTCTAACCCCATAACAGAGTCCTTTCCTGTACCAGATTGGAAACAAGCGAGTTGTATACATGGTGAGACTGTTTCTTGGCCAATTAGAGCCTAAAATTGGACTGAGAAGATGCCCAGGGAAGAGGCTGTTTTGCTTAAGTGGATTTTCAGGTTAATGGAGGGTTAAGCAGAGACCCTATTTTATGTGAACCTTTGTTGTGAAAAACGCCGAGGTACCCGCTTGCCTGCCTTATTGAGTAGGACATTAGGTTCATAATTGCACCTTTTTTCGTCTCCTCGGGCTCTCAAGGTCAGTGTTCTGAGCAGCAGTGCCCATCACGTGGTTCTGCAGCTGTAGAAGATAGAGGAGATGCTGACCCCAAGACCTTGCCTGACATTGCTTTTTTGAATAAATCCCAACTATTTGCTTATTTCTGTTACTACTTGGAATCTAAGACCGGAGTCCTCAGGGAAGAATACGGGATTAGTTCGTGGAAAGTTCTAATTATTTGAATTCTGATTAATTTATGATGTTACTAAAGGCAGAAAGGGACAAAAATGTACGAAGTACCTCTTGGGTGCTAGGCTTTGTGATTGATGCTTTACTTATGTTTTCTTTTTAAATTTATCCAACAGTTTAATCATGTAGATATTTATACCCACATTTTGCTAAGGAGGAAACCAAGACTCAGAATGGTTGGGGAACTTTGATGGAGGCAAACCGAGTAGTTAAGTGGCAAAACGAAGATTTGAACTGAGATTGGAGCATGGGTCTCTCTGACTTCCATATATCTGCATTTTCCATTATACCATAAGATTGCCTCCTGGGTAGAAGAAGTAGCTGGAGAGTTAGGAAGACCCAGGATCTGCTCTGAGGACAGTCTTCATGTCCTGTGGATCTTGTGCTGATTTCTGTTGTGTTTTCACTGTAAAGTGAGAACGAGCAGTGGTTGGCACAGGAGACTTAGGAGCATCATTGCACGTGGCTGTAAGGAGTCCTGTTTTCAGAGGTGTGCAGTTATGCTCTTTCATGGCCGTCTGCAGGCTGGGAAGAACAAAGGTAGGTGCTTTGGGCTGCACCTGGCTCCCAGAGGGTGGCCTAGGCACCAGGGAGAGTGCATCCCCTTAAGTGTTAGTGTCTCTCCTTTATTAAATATTTATGCGTTTAGCACTTAATATTTCCCAAAGAGCTTCATAGTCATGTTCACTCTTTTCCCACACTAGTTGGTGCTGGTGCTTTTATTTGGGGGAAATAGAAGTAGAAAAATACATGAGGGCTGACTATGTGCTGGAAACTGGATTGCACACTTGGTGCATATTGTCTTGCTTAATCTTCACGGCAACCCCGGAAGGAAGGTACTGCTTTCCTATTTTGTAAATGAAGTTGCAGAAGGTCAGAGAGGTTCTAACTTGCCCAAGTCAGACACACAGTGAGTGGAGAAGTTGGAATTTGAGCCTAGGTGTGCCTTATTAAAAGGCAATTGGAGTGGAGAGACTTTGACCTTTTTTAAGGCCATATGATCCAAAATTATTCTTTCTCCATTTAGTTAATGGTGTCATTTACTGAAGAGGTTTTCTCCTTATAGTCACTGCTACTGGTAGTAAGCACAGTAGTAACAACTGTAGCAGCTGATACTCGTTGAACATTTCTTGTGTGCCCATTACCATCCTGAATGCTTTACACATAATGACTGATTTAGTTCTTTCTTACTTAATGCATGCAATGTCGTGAGGGGGACAGAGAGGACACTGACACAGAGGTTACATAAATTACCCATCAATCCATAATAAGTGGTAGAGCCAGGATTCAAATCAAGACAGGCAGCCTGGCTCCAGAGTCCAAGGTCTTAATTTTATTATGTTATGATATTTTCCAGATAATCGTTTTTCTTCTTGGGACTCCTCTTTGGTACCACGTATTTTTATTTAATGATGTCTTTCTCTGGTTTAGCATCCCCGATTTCCTGATCCCTTTAGCAAATGCTTAAATTTGGTTTTTGGAAGTTGAGGTCACAAGGCCTTTGTAGAGGTTCCATGAGATACAGTTTGCTGCCGGTGGAGTTTAATCTGTGCCTCTTCTGACTCCTCTGTTCCTTCTAACTGCTGCCACAAGGTGGCGCTGAGGCCCGGGGATGCCAGAGCTCAAAGCCAGTGCTGGCCTCTCTTCTACTGCCTGTGCACACCTTAGCCCTGCTCTGGTGTCTCCCTTAGAGATGTCCTCTGCCCCTCTATCCTGTTTAAAGAATATTTTTTCAAATATTCTTTTTTTTTTTTTTTTGAGACAGAGTCTCGCTTTGTTGCCCTGGCTAGAGTGAGTGCCGTGGCATCAGCCTAGCTCACAGCAACCTCAAACTCCTGGGCTCAAGCGATCCTTCTGCCTCAGCCTCCTGAGTAGCTGGGACTACAGGCATGCGCCACCATGCCCGGCTAATTTTTTCTATATATATATATTTTTAGTTGTCCAGATCATTTCTTTCTATTTTTTTTGGTAGAGACGGGATCTCGCTCTTGCTCAGGCTGGTCTTGAACTCCTGACCTTGAGCGATCCACCCGCCTCGGCCTCCCAGAGAGCTAGGATTACAGGCATGAGCCACCGCGCCCGGCCAAATATTCGTATTCTGTTGGAATCAAACAGCAACCTGGGGACCGTTGTCTTACTCGGGCTGGTGGGTTTATCCTCAGCCTTGCACTGCAGTGCTGTTGTGTCTCCCGGCAAGGCTCTGTGGGGGCCGTGCCCAGCCTGATCCCTGCCCAGGCCCCGCTGGTCTCAGCCGCATCACAGCTACTTAATTCATCAGAATCTCTGGTTGGAGGACACACAACCCTCCAACTATGCATCATTGACCATTCCACACCCACGCTTCTTGTGTATCACGTCCCTAAGGAAATCTTCAAGGAATGCCTTCACTCCCATTTCATCGTTGATTTGACTTAGTCCGACTCCCGTCGATCGCATAGTGTGACCCCCAAGGGGCATTTGGGCAAGACTTTTAGCCAGTTCAACACATTCGATTCTTAGTTCTTAATCAGTTATTTTCTCTATTAATTGCGAGGCATTGCCTTGCTTCCTTCTGATTTTCTTCAGCTCAAAACCACCCTCCAATTACACATCCCTAAATACAGAAGCAATAAGGGAAATGTCAGCACTCGTTTTCCAAATGTTTATGACCATGTCTTGGTCTGGCTATTAAATATTGTACATTAAAATCGACAAAGCAATAAACAAGCTTCCAGGAGGACAGCTTCCAGAGTAGAAAGCCGCCTTGTCAGAGGGTGTATTCTGCTGGGATTTTGCTGATGGGTAGTCAGGATGAATATTTAATACCCTCTGGATGTTGCCAAATCCGTTTTCTTCTATTTCTTATTGCTGACCTGGCAGATTGGGATACCTGAGGGCTTTTCTTTGACTTCCATGAGTCCAGGCATGTGAATAGTGGCCCTCCTTGTCACGGCCTGGTGGCAACTGGCTGTCCCATCCCTCAGAGAGTTGACCCCTGCTTGCTTTTGGGGGAGCCTGGGGTTCTCCTTCTTCCACGCCATGTGGCTCCTGCCTGTTGTCTGTGCAGAGACAGAGTGAGCATGAGTGCAAGAGCCCTAGAAGGTGTGCCTAGCCCTTCCCCCATGCCACAGGCCTCATTGTCATGATGACAGCAGGTGCACTTTTGTTATTGGCGTCAATGAGCAAGGGTCACTGCTCTGTCTGCAGATATGTAAGGCAGGATTGGGTGCATTTGGGTTACTCTGATTAGCTATTTCCACCTCTGAACTCCTGCTGTTTTCCCTTTGCCCCTCCTTCCCGTCACTCTGCACACTGGTTTAAGCACCTGCTACGTGCCAGTGGCCATGCGGGTGCTGAGGCTTCAGAGATGGAATGTGTCATGTCCTGCCTTCAGACCGTGGGGGAGGTGGGAGGCCCGGGGACAGGGGAGGACTAGAAAGCCTTACAGGTGTGGAGGCAGAGCCAGCACAGGCATGGGCAGGAGGTGTGAGAAGGGAATCTGTGTGGGCTGGGAGGGAAGGAGGTGGGGGACATTTCAGGCTCGAGGCAGGAAGCAGCATGCTTATGTTGAGATGACTGAAGGATGGGGTCTGGGAGGGGTTCTCCCCCAGGCAAGCTTAGCAGAGACCAGGGAGCCCCTTTCGTGCAGGGAAGCATGGAGAGTGGCTCTAAGTAATGGCTAAAAGCAAGGACAGACCCGATGGCCTGGCTTTGAATTCCTACTCTACCACTTAACTGGCTGTGTGACCTTGAGCAAGTATCTTTATAAAATTGGGAATAATATTTATTTCATAGGACCGGTGAGGACCAAATGGTTAATATTCATAAAGTGCTTAGAATAGTGCCGAGCACATAAAAAGGACTATATGAAAGTTTGTTAAATAAATTAGAATAAACTAAGGAATTAGGACTTCAGCTCATACTCAGATCATGTTCTCCTTTTTTGTAACAATTTATGTTTCCTTTACTACGCTGAAATGAAATTCATAGACAATATAATATTCCTAATCACATAACCTTTAAAACCTGCTATACTGCCTAATTGTGAGATAAAGAAGGAATTTTTTTTTTAAGTAGCTCATAGTAAACTAAGGTACGGTTAGTTTAAGGTCATGGTCAGTGCTGCGGCTGGCAGAGGTGCTCTAAGTACTGCCCCTGAACACACTGACGGCCACTGTGTCAGAGACGTGGCACCCCAAGCAGCACTGCTGTCCTGAATAGGGTTTCTGAAGTCCTGAGCAACTCTTTCTACAACTGTGAACAAAACAAAGGAAAATCCTCTCTTGACTGACCTGGCATATATTAAAAACACGCAAAATGAAAGTATTGTGTTGATAGTAAAATGAAAGTAAGTTCTAGCTTACCTTTCTAACTTCATCCAATCACACCTGACCACTTGCTGTTCCCTGAATTCAGTGCACAGAGAAGTTGTCATCTTTGCTCACCTGTCCCCCCTTCTGGAGTGCCCTTTCACCCTCCTAATTAAAATGAGAGACATAATTTTCACCCATGTGAATGTCATGCAAAAATCACACAGGACACAAGGCAGCGTTGTGTTGCATAGAGTTGCATACGGTTTTACATCTTTCATTGGCTTTACTCCATTAAATATCTACCTTCCCCTAATCAATGGGGCAACCAAAGACCTGCCTACAGTTGGCTGCCCTGTTGAGAACTGCTGTCACGGGCCCTGGGGTGAGGAGCCACGACCAGGCTCTGAGCTGGGAGTAACATGTCTCTGATTGCTATTTAGGAAGATCTCCCTGGAAATAGCTAAAATTTCCTGACTATTTATTACCTACCAGGTTCTATGCTAAACTCTTCTTACAGACTATTGTTTTTAGTCTGTACAACACTCCTAATGGGGTTGCTCCATACTGTCGTTGTGCTCATTTTGCACATGAAATCACGTGTGGTCCTGTCAGGGGCTGGGCTGTCCTAACTGTGGAGGAAGGTGATGCACGCAGGCCACACAGCCCCAGGGCAGTACCGTGGCAGGACGCGTGAGTGCTTCCCAATTAGATGTGGACTCCTCAGTCTTCCCTGGGCTTCCGGAAAGGTCCTCCCTGTCCTTGAGATGTAGGAAACCCGAAGCACAGAAAAGGAGCTGACCCCTTGCTTCCCTGTCAGACATCCACCAAATTTTAAAAATGCCTCTCTTTCAAGCTTCTCAACACTTCACAATATTTTGACATGGGAAGGAAAAAAAAAATAGAAGTGCTTTGAAACATTTCTCTTGCTTGGATTCTTGTTCTCAGCCCATGTGACTCAATTGAAGTTTAGTCATAGGATTCCAGTTTAACATATGCGGTTACTATAGCAATTGAGGTTTCCTTAGTAACAGTTGCAAAAATAATCTGGCCCCAATTAATAATACATTTTAAAGCTCTTTCTACTCCACACTGAACAACCCAGTTTTTTTGGCCAAGAACCAGATAATTCAGGTGGTGTCATTCGCACTGATATAGATATCATTTGCATGCGGTGAATTGTGTTGGAAAGGAATGAAAAGGGAGCTGGTTGTTTCAAATATTATAGGAATCCAATCCGAAAAGTCCACGGGCAAGCTAATGCAAATGCAGTTTCTGGAGCTTGGGAGCTTAATGGCAAACTCTGCCCTGGAATGAATCCCAGCGTGCCCTGGAGGACTTTCTGCGTTTGAAGAAGGGAGAAGGCAGAAGACTAACATTGTCAACAAAAAGGATGAACCCAGAAGGGTGGGGCCGTGGGACATGGAATTTCTCTCTAAGAGGTGCTTGGTGTGTTCTTGGTGGTTTGAGAAGGTCTGTAAGTATGTGGATCCAGCAGTCCTTCCCGAAGAGAGCGATTTACTGCTGGGAGGTGTGTCCTCAGCGTTGCTTTTGCAGTAATGGCATTGGGTATCCGCTACTGCCACGCCTTAGCTGCCATTCATTCAGAACGTTTGTTTGTTACCAGGAGGGCCGGGTGGCAGTCTGTGGCTTTCAAAAGTTTTGATTCCTTGACACACGGGACTCAACCCTTGATGCTGGCTTTGCAAACTAAGCTTAAGCGGCCAGCAGGCCAGGCCCACCGCCAGTGCCTGCATGCAGTCCTGGTGCTGAGCTGGACCCTGGCCTCGAGAACCAAGAGCCTGACCAGCAGGGTGCTGGAGATGGGCCCCCAGGCAAGCCCAGTTGGAAGAGGCCCAGGTCGCTCTCCCATGTGGAATCGGTGTTTTGCCCTGGGTGTCTTTCTTAGCTGGCAAGCGGTTTGCTCCCCGTGGCAAAAAGCTGGGTGTGTAGAGAGTAGTGGAGGTGGAACAATACTCGTACTGTCTGTTCCTTTAGAGGAACTTGGAATTCTTTTTCCTTTATTTCATTTTTAGTCAGGGGAGAGGGTGGACAGGGGGAGGCAGAGCCAAGTGTGATGATGATGGAGTGGGCAAGAGCTCGGATCACCTTCCTGAGATGTATTTCATTAGACCTCAGCTCTTGGCACCGGCAAGGTGAACATCATTGTTAATTAGTGGCTGGGCGGCGCTCCGCAGTCTGGCCACCCTTCTGCTTTTGGAGCAGGACAGCAAGGGGAAGGGGGCTGGAGTCGGCTCTGTCCGGTCCTGTTGCTCACCATCCTCTCGGCCTTCTCTCTCCCCTGGGAAGGTCCTCCCAGGGTCCTCTGATCACCTGCTGCATGTTTCTCCACCGCGTCCCTGCTCACTCACCCACTCACTCGCTGTTTCAGCGAACACTGATGGAGTGCTTTCCGAAGCCCAGGCACCGCGCTAGGCTCTGGGCAAGCGGTGATGGGAACGTCCGCCAGGCAGTACGCTCCTCTGTGGCTGGGGCTCTGCCAGCACTTAGCATCCTGTGGGACACAGAGCGGGCACTCCATAAACATTGGCTGGTTGAGTGGGGAAAGGGTGATCTCTGCCCTCGGGGAGCTCACAGTCTAGGGTGGAAGAGAGATGGGAGGGAGAACAGCCGGGAGAGGAAGGGCATCCAGCCCAGGGGACGGTAATGAGGCGAGAGTGGAGAGAGGGTCAGCCACGGAGGTGATGGGAGGGGGCGGGCAGAGATGACGGCAAGGACAAAGACCAGAGCTCAGGGCGAGACTGCGCCGTGTGTGTGTGTGTGTGTGTGTGTGTGTGTGCGTGTGCATGTGCGTGCTCTCTCTCAGGGAGGGTGCTCGAGGGTGCACTGTGGAGGGTGAGTCGGGACAGCTGGCGAGGGCTGGATCCTGGAGGGATTTGTGCTGTGGAAAGGAGTTGTTTCTCTCTCACCTACAGTCGGAAGCCATTAAACTTTTTAAGCAGAGACATGATGTGGGCAGATTTACATTTTAGCTGGATCACCCTGGTGCCCGTGTGATAACTGGGAAAGCAGGCAGGGGACAGAGAAGAGGTGGTGAGGGCCTAAGTCAGGGGCATGGCAGGGAAGAGACAGGGAGGGGTGTTGGGGGTGACATCGGTTCCAAGCGGCTTTCCTCACGGCGAGCCATGTTTTGGAGGAAGCCGGTCAATGCTAAGTCCTCTGGGAACTGCACCGGACAAAACCAGCCTCGGAGTCTGGAAGCGAGGATGGGGACGGGCCACGTTTCCCCGAGTGTGTGGCGATTCCACTGAACCGTTCCCCTTCCCTTCTCAGTGACAAAGCTGCAGGTGAGCAAATCGAAGAGGACCCTCACCCTGGTAGAAAACAGGCCCATTCAGCTGAACTGCTCGGTCAAGTCTCAGACCAGCCAGAACTCCCACTTCGCCGTGCTCTGGTACGTCCACAAGCCCTCGGACGCGGACGGCAAGCTCATCCTCAAAACCACCCACAACTCCGCCTTCGAGTACGGCACCTATGCGGAGGAGGAGGGCCTGAGAGCGAGGCTCCAGTTTGAGAGGCACGTGTCCGGCGGCCTGTTCAGCCTCACGGTCCAGAGAGCCGAGGTCAGTGACAGCGGCAGCTACTACTGCCACGTGGAGGAGTGGCTGCTGAGCCCCAACTACGCCTGGTACAAGCTGGCAGAGGAGGTTTCGGGGCGCACAGAAGTCACCGTGAAGCAGCCAGGTGAGGACAGAGGGTGCGGCCGTCCTGGGCCAGTGGGGTCAGCGCGGAGACTGCCTGGGGGTGGGGGGGCTGTGTGGGGCCAGCGTGGAGAGGCTGTCTGCAGGGCGCACACGGGGCGTGGGTGCAGGTGCACAGACCAGCATCCGAGAGCACCATGGGTCCTGCCACTTTGCTGTCCTGGTGCTGATGGCAAACTCATAAAAGCATCCTTGACTCTGCTTTTATGGACATCATCTTCACCAAAGTGTGGCCTGGGGATAGCTGTGGTTAGCAGACGCAGCAAGGCAGGGACCGTGGCAGCTCCTGTCTCTTTCTAGGGTTGCAGTTTGCACTGGATCTTGGGCTGACACCAGACCCACACCCAGAATTCCTGCCTAGAAGGCATTTCTGGTTTCCTCCTTACCCCCCAGCCCAGCCCAGGCAAGCCCTCGGTGTCTCCACCCTCTCTCGGACCCATGGGTGGAGCCCCCAGTCCGCTCCCCGACAGGTGTGTCCAGCCTCTGCCAGAGTGCTTCCAGGGAGAGAATCTAGCTCCTGACTCTGAAAGCCTCCGTTCTACTTTTGGGCAGCCCCGATTGTTGAAAAGTCCACCTCTCTGCAATTTCCCTTTTTAAATCTGCTCCTAGTACAACCCAAGGTAAATTTGGGTCATTTCCTTTCAAGTACACGAAGGCTGTGGCCCCCTCTGTCTCCCTTTCTCTTTGTTAAAGATCTCTAGTTCTTTCAATTTCTCACGTAGCGTGACCGTAAGGGCCCTCTCCATCCCTCATTCTTGCATGGCCTACAATTTGTCGTTGTCACTGTCTGTCTTTCCTCATGGGCCGTGGGGGTGCTGTGTTGCCACCCTGGGTCTCACCTCCAGGCCTTTGCTTATGCTGTCCTCTCTGCCTGGAATGTGCTTCTCCTGCTGCTTCTGCCCTGTCTTCACCCCAAAACCAAGACTTCACTTAGTACCACCTCCAAGAAGCCTACTCTGATTTCTCCCATGTCAGTAGGGGTCCCTTACAAAACAGATAGTGTAATAATTGTTTGTATTTCTTCTGCACTACAGTGCAGGGACTTTGAGGACAGGGCTGTCTCTTATGTCTTCAGCCGCTGGCATGGCACCCTTAGTAAATATTGGTTGGGTAACGAATAAATGGTTGCTTTCCTTAAACACCCCAGGGCCTTTATACTTGCTATTCTTTCAGTCTGGAACATAATGGCCTTAGATGTTTGTTTATCTAGCTTTCCCTTAGAGAGGCGTTCCTAGCTCATTTTAACTTAAATAGCATCCCTGTCACCCTGTGTCCCCTTCCCCATCCCCTTCATAGCACAGATTATCACGTGGCATTCTGTTTATTCACTTATTCGTATGTAAGTGATTATGAAGTACTTATTCGTATGTATATGTACAGTTCACTTATTCGTTACTATACAGTACTTATTATTTTATATTCACATATACATGTGTGTGTGTATATGTGCATATGTATGTATATATATGTATGTGTGTGTATATGTATGTGCATATGTGTGTATGTGTGTGTGTGTGTGTGTGTGTGTGTGTGTGTGTGTGTGTGTATATAGTCTTTCTCTTCTACTAGAATGGAAGCTCCTGAGTGAGTGCAGGAACTTGGTTTTCTGCACTACTGCTCGTCTCCCAGGAAGCCTCGATGAATATTTGTTCAGTAAGCCAGTGGAACCAGACACAGAACTCCAGGTGTGGCCTCACTGAATGCCATGGGACTGTTCCTCTTTTTCCTGAGAACACCATATTTCTAGGGGCTCTCACTGGCCCCCCCAGTGACATTTTCTGCGAACCTGCTGCTGGTGCAGTAAACAGGAAGCTCTGGTCTGAAGTGGATCCTGCTGGCATTTCCAGCTACCTCCGTCCTGACTTCAGGCCAGTCCCTGGGGCTTTTGAAAGCTGAAGGTTGTCATTAGGCCCACCAACGTTCTTTTGGTTCCTATTTTTCATCTCTGTTCTCAGTTCTGATTATTGTCTCTACTGGGGGAACACAACCACGCCACCCTCTGTATTTCCTCCCTAGTCATCACCATCCTTTCCCTTTCCTCATTTCTACCAAAACCAAGAGATTCTTGGTGGACCCTAAATTTATCGCGGGGATTCCCTGTCTGAGTCTACAGCCCAGCCAGGCGGGGCCAGTACAGAAGCACCATAAGGGTCCCTGCAAACACGTTTACACTATAAACAGAAAACTCACAGGATGCTGATTAAAAGTTTTCCCCTTTCAGTTGAGATTTTTGTTTTGTATCTTTTTCTTTCTTTTTTTCCTTCCTGCTTCTAGTTCTTTTCTTTTTTTTCCCCTTTGATGAGAAAGCATACACTTTCAGAGCTTTTAGAAAATACAAAAAAACAAAACAAAACCCAGAAACCCCAAAAACAAACAAAAAGGCCACAACAAAGAAAATAATAATCTTTCAACCCCGAGATAACCAGAGTTTTATATATATATTTTGGGGAGACTGGTTATTTAAAATACATCCTTTATGTTATTTTTTATTTTGTAACCTTTTAATTACAAAAGTACTCATGAGCATTGTGGTTTTATAATGTAGTTTCAGACAGGATTGAAGTGTAGAAAGTAAAGAGTAAACGTGTCTGGCCTTCCCCACTCAGAAGTGTCACTTGGAAGTGTCATTCCCGAGGTGCTTCTGTGCGTTTAGAGTGTCACAGCTTTTAGATCCCTCAGGTCCACAAAGGCTCGTTGGGCCCTTGAGAAATTACAGGCACTCCTTCAGGGTGTGCCATCATTAATGACAAGTTTTCGCTGGAGGAGAGTCTGGTTGGCTGAGCTTTCAGACCACCCAGTTCCATCAGTATCAATCTTTTCTTTACTGATGTCAGGTCAGTTCTGTGCCCACCTCGAGAGGGCTTTTTTGTAAGAAAAGTAAGAACTGCAGTTCTTAGGGCTAATACATGAATATTTTAAACTGTTGCCTCTGCACTTCTTTTGTGGTTGACAGCCCAGCATATTCTAGCCATCATGTGGTCAGTTTTAAAAGTTTACTCTTGCTTTTTTTTTTTTTTTTTTTCTGAGACAGGGTCTCTCTCTGGCACCTGGGCTAGAGTGTAGTGGCATCATCTTAGCTCACTGCAAACCCAGACTCCTGGCTCAAGCAATCCTCCTGCCTTAGACTCCCAAGTAGCTGGGACTACAGGTGTGCGCCACCATACCCCACTAATTTTTCTATTTTTTGTAGAGACGGGGTCTCACTCTTGCTAAGCTTGGTCTTGAACTCCTGGCCTCAAATGATCCTCCGTCCACAGCCTCCCAAAGTGCTAGGAGTACAGGTGTGAGCCACCACACTTGGCCTAAAAGTTTAATCTTGCTTTGAGGGGGGTTCTCACCATACCCTTCCCAGCCACCCTGATCAGTGAGTCATGTGCTCCATGATCTGTTGTCATGTGGATGTTCAGTCCTCCACAGCTGGTGTTTGTCCTCCACTAAGCATCAGAACCAGTGAGGTTATGAACTGGGGATAGCTCTTAACTGAAACATCAAACTCTTTGAAACCCAGGCACTCCAGACACATGATCAGGGAACTCAGAATGTTTAGGGTGCCACGTCTGAGAAGCGTTTCTGCTAACCGAGTCTGTGCTGTTGTCCTTCCGTATTTGGAAGGCACCCATTCACCTGCCCTTGGAAATGGTGCGTGCAGATTGCTTGTTTCTTCTTGTGGCCAGCATCTCTTTCTGTACTGTTCTAGATAGCCGCCTGAAGCTCAGCCAGGCCCAGGGGAACCTGTCGGTTCTGGAGACTCGGCAGGTGCAGCTGGAGTGCGTGGTCCTCAACCGCACCAGTGTGGCCTCCCAGCTCATGGTGGAGTGGTTTGTGTGGAAGCCCAACCACCCAGAGCGGGAGACTGTGGCCCGGCTGAGCCGCGACGCCACCTTCCACTACGGAGAGCAGGCGGCCAAGAACAACCTGAAGGGGCGGCTGCACCTGGAGAGCCCTTCCCCCGGCGTGTACCGGCTCTTCATCCAGAACGTGGCCGTGCAGGACAGCGGAACCTACAGCTGCCGCGTGGAGGAGTGGCTGCCCAGCCCCAGTGGCGTGTGGTATAAACGGGCAGAAGACACTGCTGGGCAGACAGCTGTGACAGTCATGCGACCAGGTGAGGGTTTATGTCCCGCAGCCTTTACTCTCTTTGGTGTTTTCCCCTTTAAGTATAATATCTTATGCACTGCCTACAATTAGTTTATTAGTTAATAAATTATTTGAGTTAAATATGTGAGCATTTACATTATGCATTTGTATTCAAAATTGTCTCAGTTTTTTTTCTTATGAATGGAAAAATGCACATCTGGGTTTGACCTAAGGTGATTTGATAGCTTAATTAGAATAAAATCTGGCAATTCATTATTCCAAATCATAGACTATTTTCTCTTTAAGGAATACATTCAGATTTGGACAAGTATTGGATCTGATAAAAATCTTGAAATAATAGCCATGTGGTTCAGAAAAGCTTGTAGATTTTCAGTGGAAAATGATTTACATGCTTTAACTAGAAAATAATGAAGCCTTTACTTGCAGCCTTTACTTTCTTCCTGATAATTTTATTGATACTAATGACTATTCTGTGTGGCCTTTTGCTTTTCTTATCTTTATTGCTGTTTCTAAAGTACTTAAATGCATATAATTACTAGGTATAATTATTGTGACCCATTTAAACACATAATTAAAGCTAAGATGTACGAGATTCCTGTGTCTTCTATAGCATCACGACATCATTGATCCATATCAGAGAGAAAAGTCAATGGTCCCTATAAGGACCTGGAGCAGAAATGAATTTGTGACCTCCATCGGTAGGAGTGGCTTATCTTGTTTTCTGAGCATCCTGACATTGACATCCGTGGCCTTTGGTACCGTTGGAAGTTTTCGTGATGTCTTCACGTCTGAGTGGAGCAGTTCTTTTTGTTGGTCGAACACAGGAGCGTCACGGTTACCCCGTGCCCCGAACGTCATGGTCTGTGCTTCAGGGAGTCGCATGTACCCTTTGTTACAGGAAAGGGACGGTATCTTACTCACTTGTGTTTTGCCTAAGCTGGAGGGGAAATCACCTCCACTTTGAGTTACTCATATTTTCCCATGAGCTTTTATTTATTTATATATTCTTTTTTGCTTTTTGCTTTGCCTAGAAAGGCTGCTTGTCTTCTCCCTAAGGTGAAATTGTAGAGAATGGCAGCTGGACTGCCTCCGCCCTCAACTCCCACCCACTCTTCAGGTCACCAGACCGAGGTCCCCAGGTGGAGTGGGAGGAGACAGGCATTTATTGAGTACAGCTACGTCCCAGCCACAGTTAAGAAACTTATGTTCAGTCTTCACAACAACCCTGAGTGGTGAGCTTTAGTAGGGAAGGAACTAAAGCCACGTAGCTAGTAGGGGCAGGCTGAGTGGTCACCCAGGTTTCCCTCCTGCTGCACTGTGTAGCCCTTAAACCTGTGGCCCTGCGTCTGCCTCCCGTTCAGCCCAGTGAGCTCGCCTGGACCAGCCTTCCTTCCAGCTGTTCATCTGTCTGTCCCTGATTGCATAAGTTGATTGTTCTAATTACAAAACATGGAAAACAGAAAAGTATAGTTTTGAAAAGTAAAGTTATCCATAATCTCATTGCCTACAAATATCTAGTATTAATACTTTGGTGTCTGTTTTTTGGTCTTTGCCTCATATTTTCATATTCCCTCTGTCTCTCTCCCTCAACGAAATCAGCATCTCACTGTTACATGTGATTTTTTTTGCCACTCAACATTCTTTTGCAAGCATTTTTCCATGCTGTTGAAAGCATTTTATAACCACTATTTTTACTGATTTTGTAACATTCATTGTACAGCTGTACTCCAAAGATTTTTTTTTCCTGAGGTGTAAGTTAAACACATAGAAGACTTGAAATAATATAGCTATAAGAGTTACCTTTCAAAAATTGCCTTCCGTTGCTTAGGGTTGACCATTCACTGTAATCTGAAGTATATGAAACAAAGGGCTCCTACCCTCAGTGAGACTGTAGTTGAGTAGATTCGTAGTTGTGTTTGGCTTGCACAACTGAGGAATAAAGAAAACCACATTAATCACACAGGCCAGGAATCGGTGGTCAAGGTGACAGCCATGACAGCAATTAGCATAATGCAGGGGGTCCAGGGTAGGGAGAAACAGCTTCCTTGTGGCTTATACTCAGAAAAGGAAAGAGTGCTAAAGTCTGAACAGGGAGAAGGGTTGGCCAATTCTGGAAGGGGACAGACGTGGGGAAACAAATTGGTAGAGAAGCATGTTAAGAGGAGGGAAATTATGGGAAAGTGAAAATCAATCACATCCAAAAACCTTGCATGGAGACTTTGATGCAGACAAGGCACTCGAAGGAGCCGAGAACAATTGTAAGTGGTTAGAACAGAAGAGAGCAGAGGGAGAGTCGACGGGGAAGAGGAGCTTCCGAGGGCACTAAATGCCTGGTGGTGTCTGGCCGTCTTGGGGCCTGGCCACGACGAGTTCTGTTGCACACTGCCCAGGGCCACCTCCTGCAACACATTAGCCAGTCATCGGGAGCTTTGGAGGGCTGCGTTAGACTCTGGAGGTAAAGGCACCATTGGCCACCCCTTGGTCTGTGGCATGGCTGTCTGATGGCTTTGGGGTCACTCATCAGCTGTGCTCTCTGGAAAGGTAAGCTGATGAGTTGAATGAGTTTGAGTCACCTGGGAACCGATTTAATATTCTCCATCCTGCTGTTTCCTGTCAAGCATATTCTCCTCCCTGCGAGAGCTGGACTGATGCGCTGTGCCGCCACCTGTAGCCAGTTACTAAGCCCTCCCGTGCCAGCAGTGCACACTGAGAGTCCAGATGGGCAGGGCCGTGCGGGGGAGCTTGGCAGAGCCCCAACACAGGAGCAGTAGGGACACCAGCTTTATGTTCACCTGCGAACGACATTAAGCCAATTCATTGAAAGTCCAGGACGATACTTGGGAACTGCTCCTAGCTCCTATTTGGTCTTCATCCAAGTAGGATCTGATTTGGTATCTCTACTTTTGTTGACGTTACTTTGGCATCTTTCATGAACATTTCGTAAACAGAGCCAAAGGGAGGCTTTTCAGGAGCTAGGGAGTGAATTGTGTGTTTGGAACCTACCACAGTGAGCCAAAAAGGACAGAAAAAGGCAGCAAAAGAAACAGATCAGAGCCCGTCTGGTGGTGTCTGAGATGTGGCTCACCTGCTCAGGGCACCTTTCTGTGGTGGTTCTGTGTCTCCCACCTCAGTTGGGAGGATACTTTGTCCAAGTCTACCCTCCTCAGTTGTCCGTGCTCAAGGAGGGACCCTTTCAGGTTTGTTGTCTGTCATTTGGCTTCAATCCTTGGGAGAGTGATTGACCTCCTTGGGTTCACTGCGGCTTAGCCAATAAGCTACATGTACACAGTTTAAATTCAAAAGTTACTGAGTCAGTGTATTCAGTAATAGTTTCCTAGGGCTGCCGTAACAACTTACTGCAAATTGGTAGCTTAAAAGAGATTTATTCCCTCACAGTTCTGGAGGCCAGAAGTCCAAAATCAGGGTGTCATCATAGCTGTGCTCCCCCTGAAGCTCTAGGGAAGAATCTGTCCTTGCCTCTTGCAGCTTCCCGTGGCCCCCCGGCTTTCCTTGGTTTGTGGCTGCATCTCTCCTGTCTGTCTCCATCATCATGCGGCCTTCTTCTCTCTCTGTGTCTTCTCCTGTTCTTATAAGGACACTAGTTGTTTTGTTGTCTTAGACTGCTTGGCTGCCAAAACAGAGTGTGCAGGCTGGGTGGCTTAAACAACAGAAATGTATTTTCTCACAGTTCTGGAGGCTGGAAGTCTGAGGTCAGGGTGCCAACATGCTTGGGTTGTGGTCTTCCTGGCTACAGATGGCTGCACCTTCACTGTGTCCTCATGTGGCCTTTCCTTAGTGCGTGTGCCTGGAGAGAGAGAGAGAACTTTCTCTCTTCCTCTTCTTATGAGGCCACCAATCCTACTGGGTTAGGGCCCCACCCTTATGTCCTCATTTAACCCTAGTTACCTCTGAAAGCCCTTTCTCCAAATACGGTCACATTGGGAGTTAGGGATTCCACACATTAATTTGGAAGGGGACATAATTCAGTCCAGAGCACCATTCACTGGATTTAGGGCCCACCCCAATCCAGTATAACCTCTTCTTGGCGAAGTGCATCAACAAAGACCCTATTTCCAAATAAGGTCACATTCTGAGGTTCCAGGTAGACATGAATTTTTGGGGGACACCATTCAACCGCTACAAGGGGTTACAGTGAAAATAAGTGTCCCTTTCTCCCGGGATTCCCGTAAGCAGCCACACTGCCAGCTTCCTATGAGTTCTTCCATAGACATGTTATACAAATAAGGACAGATATATATATCAGAATAAAATATTTTTCTACATACAATGATATGGAGCATACACAGCGTTCTGAACTCTGATAATCTTTCTTTTTTTTTTTTTTTGAGACAGAGTGTCGCTTTGTTGCCCGGGCTAGAGTGAGTGCCGTGGCGTCAGCCTAGCTCACAGCAACCTCAAACTCCTGGGCTCAAGCAATCCTACTGTCTCAGCCTCCCGAGTAGCTGGGACTACAGGCATGCGCCACCATGCCCGGCTAATTTTTTCTATATATATTTTTAGTTGTCCAGATCATTTCTCTCTGTTTTTTAGTAGAGACGGGGTCTCGCTCTTGCTCAGGCTGGTCTCGAACTCCTGACCTTGAGCGATCCACCCGCCTCAGCCTCCCAGAGTGCTAGGATTACAGGCGTGAGCCACCGCGCCCGGCCTGATAATCTTTCTTGAGTCTCTGTCCACATCTCGGCACGTAGTCGCGCCTATATGCCTTTTCAGTAGGTGTGTAGCGTTCTATTGCGTGGGTATTACTAGCATATGTTTAGTGATGGACATTTAGTTAGTTTTAAGCAAATAAATTCAAACAGCTTCTTCTCCCTTCTTGTCCCTTGTCCCTGCCCAGATGCTGCCCTACAGGTGGACACAGTAGTTCCCAACGCCACAGTGTCTGAAAAGGCAGCTTTCCAGTTGGACTGTAACATCGTGTCCCGCTCAAGCCAGGACTCCCGCTTTGCTGTGGCCTGGTATTCCCTGAGGACTAAAGCTGGAGGGAAAAGAGGCAGCTCTGGTCTGGAAGAAGAGGAGGAGGAGAGGGACGAGGAGGAGGACGAGGAGGAGGAAGACGAGGATGACCCAACAGAGCGCATGGCCCTGCTGAGTGTGGGCACAGACGCTGTCTTCGGCCCAGAGGGCAGTGCCTGGGAGGGCAGGCTGCGCTTCCAGAGGCTCTCCCCGGTGCTCTACCGGCTCACGGTGCTGCAGGCAAGCCCCCGGGACACAGGCAACTACTCCTGCCGCGTGGAGGAGTGGTTACCCAGCCCGCAGAAGGAATGGTACCGGCTGACGGAGGAGGAGTCGGCCCCCATCAGCATCCACGTTCTGGACACAAGTGAGTTTTTCCAGTTGTAGAGGAAGGATGTCACTGTTGATTCCAACTGTGTCTGGAAGATAAATTCAGAGCCTGATTATGGGTTACTTAGCAGTTTTCTTAACCGTCATGGACATTTATTAGTAGGATTTGAGATATGGTAGGATTTGACATACTAGTTCATGTAATTGACCCTTGATTGCCTATGCAACAAACAAGATTAGGAATTAAAGTAATAATATGCCATATAATCTTTATAATGAACTTCATGTTCCACCAGATTCCATTTTAGTAAGGTTTGTTGTACAACTAATTCCTAGATGTTACTGTGTTACTTTTTAGAGTACTGAACCTACTCTCTCTTTAGTGAATTAGCCAAGTGTTTCAGACTCACAAGAGGAAGGGAAAAAATGAAGCCCGAGTACCCCACTGTCATTCTTTTCATTTTTGTTCCCAAATGTCTGGGTCATTTTTAGTTTGGAGGGTGACCTGGAGGTTTACGTGGTTTACGTTGGAAGGACCGGCCTGGTAGAGCTGTGATGTTACAGGAGAGCTGGGAGCAGCTTAGCAGTGGCCCTGTTGCTACAGAGGGTCCAGCAAGCAGAGTCTGGATTGTACTGAGGGATTTCCACGATGAACAGAGACCGGAGGCGATACTTGCTGGCCTGAATTGTTTGTTATATAACAAGGCACTCTTTCAGTTGGCCTTGCATCAAAATAAGGAATATATATTAATATCAGACTAAAAATGGTGTTTGTTAACAGTAGAATTAGCCTATAACACAGAAATTCAAAAATTGCTGGAATTTTCAACTTCTTTTCAGTCAAAACATTTTACCACATAATCTTGAGTTTTTGAGTTTTGGCTGCTAGTTCTTTGCCTTGATCACCTCCTGTTAACATTGCATTAGACAGAACTATATGAAATTGCGTTTTTGTGGGTCAAAAATGGTTGACTATCAGCAATTTCATATACTTTGGAAATCTAATAAGTGCAGGTGTATGTTAAATTTTCTTAATAATACTGGTGAACAACAGCTATGCAGTGGAGGAAAAAGTAGGAAAAATATAAACCATACATAGGTCACCTAATGATGTACTGAATGAGCCACTGTCTAAAAGGAAAGGTGTTTAGGCCACATTTTATCTGTCCATTGTGGATGCCCATAATTATTAAGCTTCATAGCACAAAGGGATCACCCAGAAGCCTTATTTTACAGACAAAACACAGGCTTCCAGAGGCCAGGCTCCTGCCAAGGTATAATGAGTTATAGAACAGCCCTCAACCAGGGTCTTGGGGCACCTGGTTTTATCCTCTTCCAGCTGTACCTAACACTGTTCTGTGCAGCAACAGATACACGGTGGACATTTATAAGTGGTCCATAATGACATTTTAATTTATAACGTTAATCAGGTAAACATCATTTCTGGTAAAACTGCTCTCAGAAGCTGGCAGGAAGGAAATGTGTTATAACCCCAAAGAAGGAGGTTTGTAGCAGAACTAAGTGTAAAGGTACATGTGAAATATAACCGTGCAGGATGTTCAGACTGAACTGGAGCCGTTTCTTTACCACCCTAGATGCCACTGAGTTGACAATCAATACGTTACATTTTGTTATATGGCTTTCCAAGCAGTAATAATGGATTTCAATGGAAAATGGAGGCATTGCTTTGTTGGAACTTACAGCTGGGAACTGGGAGAGGTGTGTTGTGAGAAAAGGAACATCAGGGTACTCAGCTGCCGTTAGCGGCCCCAGGGAAAAGGCAGGGCACTGTGGGAGCGCCACCAAGGGGCTCCCGTTGGGTCGGGCAAGGTCTCCAGGATCAAATGTGGGCAGTCCAGGCTCTCAGTTCTCATTGTCCTGTCTCCTCTGTGGTCCTTTTCAGGTCCTACCCTCCAGTCTGTCATCTGCTCCAATGACGCGCTCTTCTACTTCATCTTCTTCTACCCCTTCCCCATCTTCGGCATCCTTATCATCACCATCCTGCTGGTGCGCTTCAAGAGCCGGAACTCCAGCAAGAACTCTGATGGGAAGAATGGAGTGCCCCTATTGTGGATCAAGGAGCCGCACCTCAACTACTCCCCCACTTGCCTGGAGCCCCCGGTGCTCAGCATCCACCCTGGGGCCATAGACTAAGGGGGGTGGCCCCGGCGGATGTCGGCCACGGAGGAGCTGAGGCTCTCCCTTGCTGCCTCTCGCTCTGTGATTGGACAGCTGGCAGCACCCAAACTCTGGAGTGCCCGTGCAGAAAATCGTCAGACTTGAAAAGTGTTCAAAGTTCCTGATCACAGAGACAGATTGCCTCTCGGTGGCAGTCTTGGTTGGCTAGCTATTTGTGCACAAATGTGATCCGCAGTTATAGGTTTCTCGTTTTTGTTTTTAGTAATGTAGTGAGTAGCTCCAGGTGCACATCTACTCACTGATTTCTCTAGTAATCTCAGACAGATGTTACAGGGGTTCTCATTCTTCGTAATGTGCTCTTTTTAAATCCCTCTGCTTTCCCTTTTTTGGATTCCGTACTGTTGTGGACGGATTTCTCTTACATAAAACTGATGGCAAAAGGAAGGATGAACTTTTCTAGTTATGAGGAATCTCTTCCGAGACTTTTTGTTTTTGCATATTTGAAAATGCCACCCATGGATCAAAATACACCCAAACATTTTTTTACTTTCTTAATAAGACTTGAAAATTGTGTATAGTGTGGACAAAATTTGTATCTTATCTTTTGCCTCGGCTACGTTTGTTGGAACCACTTTGTAGTCGAGATGAAAGCATTGAATTTTGCTTCAAAGAACTATGTATGTACAAGAGAAATCCTGCATAACCCCATTAGGAGTAGATGGTGCCCGGCCTATCTGTCAGAGAGGCAAAAAAAGGCTTCACTCTATCCTTGCCAAAAAAAAAAAAACAAATAAGAAAACCGTCTTGAAGAACGGGTCAGAAGCTCCAAACGGCACACACTTTCCAAGTTAAAGTGGGCAGAGGGCTGCTTTTAGCAGCTACTGACTTTCAGGTTGATCAAAGCCAGTGATTAGAGAAGGAAGGGATAAAAGGCTGGGTGTTGGCTTGATCTGTTCTGCAAGGGCAGTCTGATAACTGTGAGCAGGTGGGCTTTTGTCTTCAGGTGCTTTGCCAAACTCTTAAAGGAAAGTGTCCAGTGAACCTGAGCACAGGGGCCAAAGTAGCCACCGTATATACCCGATGGAAGGCACTGGGCTGTCCAACACTGAGTTTGCTGTCGAGTGGGACAGTAAGGGGTGGAAGGGGGGTTTCCAGGGCCTGATGTTGGAGAGTGCAGAGGAGTAACTACCTCCCTGGAGGTGTGAAGACTAGATTTTTCTCCTTTCTTCCAATTAGATTTTCCTCAGTGATACCGATGTCTTCCTCACTTAACTTTTCTCCCTCCCTACCTCACGGCCGTGAGAGTATCAGCCGCGGGGAGGTCCAGATGCGGCCCTTTGCAATCCTTTCAGTTTACGTAGTCTCAGCAGGCAGTGATCACATTTGTTGTCTATAGAGGTTTTTTCCTTTCCCTTTCTTAAATCATTTTATTTTGTTGTTCATTTTTATGGTGGCTTTTTATTTTAATGTCCCTCAAGCCCAACCAGGGCCAGTGTCACCTTATTACTTTACACTGTTGGGCCAGATGCTTGGCCCCCTGGAGCATCCTTGGCTGCAAATATTTCCTTTTGCTCACTCCGTGAAGATGTTACCATGCCCTTCCTTGCCCACATTTTGTTGGCCAAGTGTGCCATCTCCCTTCCTGTAGGAACTTGCACCTTGAATCCCAAGAGGGGTCCAATTTGGAAAAAGCTACCAGGGATTCTGGAACTAAGTCTGACAAGAGAGATTCCTGCAAAGCCTTGTTCTGAGAATGAAAAGGCTCCAGGGGAGGCCGTGTGGGTGCTGATCCTCACCTGAGGCGTGCGGCAGCCTGGGCTGATCAGCAGGTGCGTTGCTGAGCCAGGCCACGGGGAGCAAGGCAGTTGCTCGGCTACTTTCCGACAGGCTTACACGGACTTGCCTTTCTCCTCGCAGTACACGAGTACTCTCCAACGAGACGGTGTGCGGGCACCGCCACCTTAATCCTGCTGTTGCCTGACATGCTGATTCTCATTTATTATGCTGCATCAACATGTTAGAAGTACAGAATTGGCTTAGTCATGAAGAAAGGTCTTTTGCCCCATTTCTTCATTTCAGGGATGTGGGCTTTCGGCGGGAATTTGCTGACTCCTAATTTATAGGCTGAGTCAGTGAGGGAGGAGGACTGACTTTTCATCTGTCTGACTGGAAGGATGCCAGAGGGCTGGCTGGGTCTGGGATGTGTAACTAAGATTTCAGTTTGAATTGGTTCACAGCAGTAGAAAACTAGGTGCTGCACGTAACTAAATATGTGAAGCAATTACAGGAAAGTTGAAAGAAAAAAAGAAACCGAAGCCAGTATTTTAATAATTGCTCTTTCTGTGCATTTTCCCTTGGGCTGGGGCATACCATCAAATGATGGTTGAGCTTTTCCAGTTTTCTATGAAAAACCCCAGGACCTTCTTTCTTTGGCCATTTCTATGGAAATGTGGTGTCAGATGAATGGTAATGGTGCCCTCCAGTGGCTGCGAGACCTCATTGCACGTTGTCTACTGGAGCTTTAGTCTTCTGAGGACAAGAGAGGGAAACTGCTGAATACTCTCTCTTGACTCATCTACGTCTACGATGTTGCGTTAATGAAAAACTACACTGTGCTAGGCGCTTTCCAGGACATGAATATGACCACACCCTCTTTCACCAGGGTGTTTCTGTAGCAAGTTTTCGTATTCTTTTCAAACAATGGTTTCTCTGCGTTAATTTTTGAAGAAAAAAAGAGATGGGGTAAGAAAACTACCCATGCATGATGTAGAGAGCTGTTGATTTGTTTTTGTTTTTTAAAGGAAAACTATTTGTAAGATGTTGCACTAAAACATTTTATATACACTTCAGAGACCTGTAGTAAATTATGTTGAAAATACGGCTGTTCACATTTACTGGAGTCTTCTATCGTTCTTTCCCCTCACTTTATCAGCCACTTTCCTCTGCAGAACTGTGCTGTCGGGGCCTGCAGTTCCGCCCTTCGCACTGGTCTGCTAGGCTCAAGGTCCATGACTTGCAACTTTTATCATCATGCCCCACGCCCAGCTTCAGTGGTGCCCTTGTACAAATGATAAAAACATCTCTTCCTCAAGACACTTTGCTGCCATCTGCTGAAATGCATCATAATAAATATACACCCCCACCCTGACTGCTCAGGCTACGCTGTCCCTAGAGTTGGGCAACACAACACACCTGGAGCCTGAAAGGCGGGTTCAGAATGTAGATCTTACGACCGCTCCCTTTTTTTTGGCGGGTGGGGGGAGGGATGGGGTGAGAGGAGACTGATGAGGAAGAGAGCAGGAACATGGGACAGCCTTCTCCTTGGCCTCTAGGGCCTCTGCCGCGGGACCACACCATCCTTTTCCAACTATGTAGTGCTGCCCTGGCCGTGAAATAGCAAGCATTTTCCAGGATGGAGGGAAAAGCAAGAGCTGTATATTCCTGTGTGGTAAAACTGCACAGCACACCAGTCTGCACAATTCCAGTGTGGGGAGGAGTTTACCACATCTGCAAAGTGAGATTGTTAGACTGATTAAAGCCATAGCGGTGACACATGGTGAGTGAGAACCCATCTGTAATTCTTTAAGATTCATAGGACATGCAAAAGGAACTAAATAGAGAGTGAAAAGGAAAGGGAGGTGCTTCCTTTCTTTCCTTCTTTTTCTAAGTCCAGGACTTGCAAAGGCTTTCGTGTGTGCTTTCCTGAGCTCCCGCATTTGCTGTATCCTTATCAACTTCTTGCAGCTGCTGGCTTGGCCAGGAGTTGAAATTGTGACTGTTTATCCCTTGGGTACACACAGTGGTTCCATGTTAAGTCTTATGTATTATTTTTGCCTATTTTTTTCAAACGTTCTCTTTCTGCCAGGGAATATTTTTAAAAGGGAAATAGAGTATTATGGAATAAGATTACCCCTCTATGCCCTTTGTGCAAATGCAGTGTTTATATAAATGAAGTGAATGTACGCTTCCCCATGAGGCTACAATGAAAATGACAATTTACATTTATGCAGGATTAGGGGCAGTGTTTTGCTCACTGCATTCTGGGATTCCTAAGCTTTGCGGGAGTAGTTCCAAGGGCTTGGCAGAAACTAGAGCCAGCGCATGAATGACATGCTAGGAAGAGCAGCCCCAGCCTCTTGAGCAGGCTGAATGGGCCCTCCTTTCTTACCTTCTCATCCGTGATTATCTACAGTGACAGGAAGATAAAACTGGACCTCATAACACTGGTCACAGGATGAAAAATATGTCCAGCCCTCCTTTTGGTGGCAAGTTCTCAATATATGAAGGGAGCCTTTTTGGCTGTCTGCCTGATACATTGCAGGTCCGGTCTTCCTGAGCCATTTTGATTCATGAAGTCTGCTAGACCAGGCATGTAAGTGCCTCTAAAAATGCTTGATGGAAGCACAGCATTTCTCTTAATGAAAGAGCTCGCGCTGCTTCTTGGTCAGAGGAGAGTCCAACCAAGGAAGGCCTAGTGAATCATTCCTTACCCGGTGCCTGGAGACTTTGACCTGCCCAGGTGGCTGGCAGTTCTTTCCTCCACACTGCCGCTGAGGGGTTTGGCAGTACTTGCTGCCCAGTCTGAATGACAGCACAGCTGCCAGTCCAGAAGTTGTTATCATATATATTCTGCTCCTGTATGAAACAGTAAGAGTGGATGGAGGCTTTGGACTTGGCCTCAGATGGATTCCCAGTTTCGCTCCTTATATGTCCTTAGGTAAGTCATTTACTTTCTCTGAGCCTCAGTTTCCTGATTGGTAAAACCAAAGACAGTAATTAAATTGATCCAGGTAATGCTCTTAACACAGGGCCTGGATTATAGTGAGTGCCGAACAGATGTCTGCCGTCGTATCACTTCTCAGCGCAAAACCTTTCTGTGGCTCCCCAGTGTCTGAAGGCCTGACCCCATTCCTACCTTTCCAAGCTGGCCGGAGTTCCTACCAGCACCCGGCAGAGGAGAAACTTGATTTCCTCATATTTTACGCTACATACTGCACCTGCCTTGTGTTCCCAGCATCTACAGATGATAAGGAATGTCCTAAGATAGCAGGCTTCATGGTATGGGACATTGGTCCCAGAAATTTCATTGATAGAGATACCTTTTAGGGTTTTATGGCTAATTTAAATAATTCACGAATTCTTGCAGTATGGCTCAAGTGTCTTGAGTGACTTTGACTGCCCCACCCAAGGATAATGGAGATGATGGCAACATGAACGCACATTTCCACTCAGTTTCACGACGTGCAATGTGTTTTTGGTGTTTATTTGGGCAGCAGGGAGTCGTGTTTGCGGAAATAGTTTCCTGCTCACATGATAACTAAGAGTTCTCTTAAATCCCTGAGCTGGACAGGGGCAACTCGGGTGCTTCTGTCTGCAAGAAAGGGGCAGACGGGGAAGCTGATGTGAGGAGCTGGTTCCGGGACTAGCGCTGGTTCGGGATCTGATGGATTTGAGGGGAGGGCAAGCCCAATCAAGGCTAACCAAGAGGGAGAGTTATAAATGCCTGCTGGGAGGCCAAACAATGAGGGGGATAATGGATCTGACACCCCAGTCTGAGGGAAAGTCCACAGCTGAGACGGAGGAAAAGAGGGAAAACCAAAGAGGAACGGAGACAGGAGAAACTAAAATCTGGAAATCCCAGCTCCGGGTTAAGGGAATATTGGTGGGCGGGCAGGGGAGGGCGCTCCAGGTCGAAAAGCGGGGGGAGGTGCACCAGGACCCCCACACATTCTAACAGAAGTCTAAAAATGTTCCCTTTCCTTTTAATGTTTGAAGAAAAAGCGGCTCAAGGAGGCTGTCTTGTCCAGAGTCCCAGAGCACTGAAAGGAACGAAGTGCCTCTGAGCCTCTCGGTGCGTCCGCCCCGCCCTAACGCCACCGCAGGTGCCCGCCTAGTGGGCGCAGCTGTCGGGGGGCTACAGCCCCACCCTGCACCCCGGCGATGGCGCTGCCTCCAGCAAGCCCCAAATGATAAGGAAACGCGCTGGAAGTGCGGGAGGAGCGAAGACATCTGGCTTTTAAGACGCAAGCCACTTTTTAGTAGGAAGGAGTGTTTCTTCCTTAAAAGGAGCCGACGGGGCGGCGGCGCAGTGACGAGACGGGACCGCCGCCGGGGGACAGAGGAAAGGCGGGCGGAGGGAGGACGTGCGCGCAGACGCGGGGCGGGCCGCGGGCGGGGCTGGCCGGGCCCGCGAAGCCCTACTTTTCTTTTCTTTTTTTTTTTTTTTCCTTTGAGACGGAGTCTCTCTCTGTCGCCTGGGGTAGAGCGCGGTGGCGTCATCGTAGCTCACGGCAGCCCCCAACTCCGGGCCTCAAGCTGTCCCCCCGCCTCGGCCTCCCGAAGTGCTGGGACGACAGGCGAGCGCCCCCGCGCCAGGCCCGCCACCCTACTTTTGACAACCCGCGTAGGCTGCACCGGAAGTTGGCGACTGCGCCGGGCCAGGTCCCGGGCAGGGTCCTGCCCGTCCTGCCATGGTCCTAGGCAGTGGCGCAGGGCTGGCCCTGGGGGTCCTCTTGGTCTACCTGCAGCCCTGGTTAGGTGAGTGAAGCCTTCCCCTCCCCCGGCTCCCCGCGCCTGCGGAAACCGGGCATCTCCTGGGCCGTCCCCAGGGCTGGGGCAGGGTGGACGGGCAGGGTGCGAGGCGGCTGCGGGAGGGACAGGTGGGGGGGCGGTAGGGAGTGTCAGGGGCAACTCGGCCCGCGGGAGCCTCTTCGGGAAGAAAAGGTGGTAAAGTTGTCATCTCATCTCCGAGTGCCCCTCATGTTGTCAAGAAGGACAGCAGGAAAGGGACCGAACTCCTCCGGCTCGCTCTCCTTTCCAGAGCTGTCCGGGGGCTCTTCCCTCTCTGCGGGAATCCTCCTTAGGCCCCCTGACGCCATCTGCGCTCGCCTCCGCGCCCAGGGCTCGTCCGGAAGGGTGTGACTTTTCTCGGATGATTCCTAGCTTGCTTCTCGAGCCTCTCGCTAGTCGCCAAGAACGTGAGCGGAACTTAGAGCTACTTCCCCAGCGCCTGAGCTCGCCCAGGACGGGGCCCGCCTGCGCGGAGAGCGAGGCCTGCGCTCCTCGCCGTCGTCCCCGCTCGGGTCCGGGGCGCTGCCGGGCCGTCCTGGCTGCCAGGCGGCCTGTCAGAGTCGCCACCCAGCGAGAAGGGGCCACGGCCTCCCCTCCGGATTCCTAAGCAGTGTGACCGCTGCTCCTTTCTCTTCCCTTCAAAATGTAAGAGAACTGGTGTCTAGAACTGTGTTCATCCTTTCCGTCTTTCTTCTTCAGCCGAATCGTCGCAGCCCCATGAAGTAGGCGTCTTCCTCTCCATTTTTACCCCTCCACCCTCCTCCACCCCTCCACACGCAGGGCCCTCGTGAAGTCATAGCCAAAGCCCTGGAGTATAGCCATGACACCTGGTTGGTTATTCGTCTTTACTTGAGGGTTTCCCCGTGGTGAGCTCTTGGTACCTGACTACCAGATCCGTCTTCCCTGCCCATCCGTTGGTTTGTTCAACGTTTATTGCATGCCCATGAGATACGTACATCTATGGAAGACAGCCTAGAGGGGAGGGGGTGAGATATGCTCAAAAGTACTTATGTGATCAGGTGAAGAAGTCAGTGTTGTAAAGAGGTTAAACATAAAGTGCTGTCCGAGTGCAGAGGGAAGAAAGCAGTATATTTGGTGAAATCAATATCTTTTGTGAAGCAAAGACTTCATGAAAGGGTGGGTATTTGAACCTGGCCTTCGAGGACAGCTGCTATGTGGATATGTGATGTTGCAGGAAAAGGTTCCCAGAAGAGGCGACCAGGTAAGAAAAACGAGGGAGCAGGCATGTGCACGGTGAACTTGGATGATAGTCATTCAGTGCGACAGAGGAGGTGTGCCCAAGGGAGTTGGAGGCCCCATGGCAGAGCCCTGAGTGTCCCCTTTGGGAGTTTGGATTCTCTTCTGCAAGCAAAGAGGCTGTTTCTGAGCCTGATAGGATCAGAACCATGTGCTTGGGAAGGACAATCCAACAGCAATAAAGAGGAAGGATTGCAGTCAGGAGGAATTGGAGGCAGGAAGGCCAGGAGGCCAGGGCAGACTACCATCCCAGGGCCCAAGAGCTGTGGTGGGTTTATGTGCGGCTGGCTGTGGGAAAGGAGGAAGAGGAGATGCATACAGAGGTTGATTGGATGGGGTAGCGCTCCTCCAAACGAGCTGGTCTGTCTTTCCTGGACACCTTTGGTCACTGCCACCTATACCTGTGTTCTCTCTTCCATTGCAAACCTAGTTTGTGCATTAAGCTCCACCTCACCTCCTTCAGAAGATTCTTTGAACAGTCCCTTCATGGTGGTCTCTCCCACCTAAGTCATGTATTCCTTCAGAGGGCATTTCATTCAGCAGGTATGTGTTGATAAGCTGCTCTGTGCAGGCCTTAAACTGAGGACAAGACTGAGTGGTTTAGTCCTCTTTCTATTAGTAATAATGGTCAGCCCTTTGAGGGCTGAGCCTACCTCACTAGAGGAGCTGCCAAATACAGTGATTGACAGCATCAGCTCCAGGGTCAGATGCCTGGTTTTGGGCCCTGGCCCCACCCCTATGAGTTCTGAATTACAAACTTACACAAGTTACCTAACTTCTGTTTATCTCAATGCCTTCCCTTTAAGGGAAAGGATAATAATATACCTACTTCATAGCATTATTGTGAACATCAGTCATTCAATAAATATTTATTGAGTGTCAACTATATGTCAGGCACTGTACAAAGGACTGGGGATACAGCAAGGTACAGATAATTCCCTGCTTTTGTGAAGCTCATATCACAGTGAGGGAGAGAGACAGTAAGTAAATAAATGAATAAACACATAGATGTTGGATGGTGATAAAGTAAGCACTTACTAGTATAAAGATTAGTAAAACAAAAAAAGGGGGGGGTGATGGAAATGGTTAATATTTCCTTTAAGTTTTTTCAAAATTTTAGAACACTTAAAGTCTTCATAACAGTTGTAAAAATAGTACAATGAACACTTACATACTTTTTCCAGTCAATGTTTTCTCACATTTGTTTTACTTTCCCCATACACACACACTTTTGTTTTGTTTTGTTTTTGCTAAACCATTTGAGAGTTTTCAGACTTCATGGTACCACCTTTAAATACTTTGACATGTGTCTCCTAAGAACAAAAGCATTCTCCAGCAAGCTACAGAATTATTGCCACAGTCAGGAAATATATTAATAGCATTGATACAGTACTGTTTTCTGATAGAAAATCCAGAAGCCAGTCATGTGTCACACACTTCCATTGGCAATCATGGCTCCTTAATCCTCTTTAATCTAAAAGTGTTGCCAGTATTTTTTGGTATGTTATGATATCACCATTTTTGAACTCTGAGTCAGATATTTTTCTGTATATGTTTATTAATTTACATTCTTCAGTAATGAATAGCTTTTGTGCACACATATACCCCCTTCCATTATTATTATTTTTTTTTTTTTGAGACAGAATCTCACTCTTTTTGCCCAGGCTAGAGTGAGTGCCATGGTGTCAGCCTAGCTCACAGCAAGCTCAAACTCCTGGGCTCAAGCGATCCTCCTGCCTCAGCCTCCCGAGTAGCTGGGACTACAGGCATGCGCCACCATGCCCGGCTAATTTTTTCTATATATTTTTAGTTGTCCAGCTAATTTCTTTCTATTTTTTAGTAGAGACGGGGTCTCGCTCTAGCTCAGGCTGGTCTCGAACTCCTGAGTTCAAGCAATCCTTCTGCCTCAGCCTCCCAGAGAGCTGGGATTACGGGCGTGAGCCACCGCACCCAGCCCCATTATTATTTTTTTTTAGCATTAGGATAGACTCCTGTTTTTTAGTTTATTTTGTAAGACAACATTGCTGTCATTATCCATTTCGATACTTAGTGATCCTAAATTTGACAAGCGGGAACCCCTTTAATCTCCAGTGTCCTTTTGCTATGTTCTTGTCTGGTTCGGGGCACTTCCTTACTTCCCGACACAGAAAGATGTTCTGGATTCGTTTTATAGCTTTCCTGGTTTCTGTTAATGGGAATGGTATTTAGAAATCAAGACCTGAGTTAGATGTGCTCAAGGCCACTAGAGTCATTGCTTCTCAGCCCTGTCAGTTTTCAAAGCCAAGAAATAGAGTTTTTACAAAGTCATGAGTTTTTCCTGATATCTCTAAGACTAATCCAGTAACTCAGTTCTGCCTCTTCAGCCATTCCATATTTATATCTCCCCTTTCCCACAGTGAGAACTCTATTCTTAATAGTACCAGTATATTTTCTTAATCTACATTAAACACAAAGTACTATAACAATTGCTATACCAATGCCATTACCAACCACAAACTTACTAAATACAGTTAAAGATTTCTTTGCAGTTCCTTTTATCCTTAAATATGGATGGTCCCCAGCTTATGATAGTTTGACTTATGATCTCTCAACTTTACAATAGGTTTTTCAGGACATAACCCCATTGTACGTCAGGGAGCAACTGTATATCCTAGTGAAGATGTGTAGAATATTATTTTTAAAAGTTACTTGGATTCTTTTTTCCTTCTGTGTGACCATGTTATCATTTTGATATATAGTTGCATTTAATTTGTTTCTGTTTCTATTCAATTTTATGGTTCCACCTTTGATTTAATTTTTAAATATGTAAAATATCAACATGGTTCAAATCAAAACTATTTAAAAAGATATGCTCAGCTAGCCTGAGCAAGAGCAAGGCCCTGTCTCTGCTAAAAAAATAGAAAGAAATTAGCTGGACAACTAAAAATATATAGAAAAAATTAGCCGGGCATGGTGGCGCATTCCTGTAGTCCCAGCTACTCAGGAAGCTGAGGCAGAAGATTGCTCGAGCCCAGGAATTTGAGGTTGCCGTGAGCGAGGCTGATGCCACGGCATTCTAGCCTGGGCAACAGAGTGAGACCCTGTGTCCAAAAAAAAAAAAAAAGATATGCTCAGGGAAGTCCTTTCCTCACCTTCCTTGGTAACAGTTATCATTTATTTCTGTTTTATCTTTCCTGTTTCTTTTTGCAGTTATAAACAGATATATATGTTTATTTCTAACTCCCCTTAAACAAAGTAACACTATGTACTCTTTTGTATCTTGTGTTTGTTACTTAACCATACATCTGGAAAATCATTCCCTATCAGTTTGTAGAGCTCACGCCCATCCATTTGTTATAGCTGCATAGTCCTCCATGGGGTGGATATATAATAGTTCATTCTGCAGCTCTCTGATGGTTAGCATTATATAGTGTGGTCAAAGAGAGTCTCTTTGATAGGGTGACAGTTGATCATAGACCTAAGGAAGTGAGAGAGTAGGCCACGAGGCTATCTGGGGGAGTAGTATTCCAGGTATACTACTTAGAGACTCTGAGATAGGCTTCAGGCATTTACAGAACTTCAAGGAGACCATTGTGGCAGAGAGTGGTAGGAAGTGAAGTTGTAAACGTAGTCGGGGACGGATCCTATAGGCAAAGTTTTGTGAGTCCTTTTAAAGACTCTTGAGTTTTTTTTTTACTTTCAGTGAAACGGGAAATTTTGAGGAGTTTTGA